GCCTGAGCCGACAGAGCCAAGAGGAGAACGGGATGATTTGCTGGGTGAAGAGGCCAGAGACGTGTTCCCACTCATCAGGGTAAAGAGGCCCATTTGCCCAGTGCCCAGGAGGCCCGTCTGCCCAGGAGACCAGCCACACGGGCGAGGGAGCCGAGCGTGGCACTGATCTCAGCAGTGGCATTGGTGGGGCTCAGCCACGGTCCTTGTCCCCAAGCCAAGGGCCAGCAAGGCCCGGCACTGGTCTGGGTTGGCCCCGCTCACCACATCAAGCACTGGGCGCCACTGGGCAACCCCCTGGGAGCAGAGGCCAATGTTAGGAGCCCCACCTGCCGGCGGCCGCTAAGGGCACCGTCCGTGGCCCCCCGTCACAGTCACTGCCTCCTGCGCCCGCACACGCAGCAGGTGCTCAGCTGGGTCACCGGCTACACACGCATCATCGGGTCTGATCAGCACGAGGGTCCCACATTCAGGAATACTTGTCCCCATTTCATAGAGGAGGGAATAGGCTCCAGAGGGCATGTGACCCGCCCAAGGGTGGGGGGGGCGTAGCTGGGATCAGGACAGGTGTCCCTGTCGCCTACCCTGCCACGTCACGAGGTGGCAAAGTGTGGCGGCAAATCTGGGACAATCTACCAACGAGGTGGGCGAGTAAGCAAAGGCACGACCCCCCTGGGAGGCTCCTGGTCTCCTTCCTGATAGCCTCCTCCCATCCCCGTCCCCAGGTGCGGGGTGACCCTGAGATCTGAGGGCCTGGGGACGACCAGGCAGCTAGAACCCTGATACCCTTGGGGTGTTCACAGCCTCCTAGATAAGGCAATTTCTGCACTTTTTCTGAGTGTTCGTGACACTTGTCAGACATTGCACTGGTCTTTTTTTTCTACTTTTATGATGGAGTCTCACAAAATGCCTCATGAGACCAAGCTCCAGCTCACAGATGTGAAACCTGAGGCTTCTCGGGGTTTGGCCAGTTCTCCAGGGCCACATAGCTGCCCCCAGATGGGGATGAGGACCCACACCCAGCCCTGTTGGCTCCTGTCCTGGGCCCAGCAGCACGAAGCTCCTGTCTCCTGGAGAGAGAGCAGGATCACAGCCTGGAGGGACTCTAGGGCGTCGCCGGGGACTGCGGGGCGGCCCTCGATCAGGTTGATGGTTCCGGGAATAATTCCTGTTCCTGGCAAGGCTTCCCAGTGCTGGGATTTCCTTATCACAGGGAGATCAAATGGTCACAGCCCCACGTGGTCGATTCTCACCACTTGAGTTTATGTTTTAAGTTATTATCACAGCTGGGGACTCATGAAACCAAAGGTTGGAGCCCATCTTGCAATTGTAGCCAAATGAGCCTGTTGCATTTGTGGTTGGGCCTCTGGGTGTGGTAGCTCTCGACCTCTGTTTCTTTCCTTTAACATTTTTCACACACTTTAGTTCTTAGAGTGGTTTTCAGTCTGCAGCAAAACTGAGCATAAAGTGGAGTTCCCACAAACTTTCCCCTGTAATACGCGTGTTTGTTACAGGTGATGAGCCCATTTTGATACATTGTAATGAACTGAGGTTTCCATCAGGGTTCCCTCTGTGGGGTTGAACCTGCTATGGGTTCCGACAAGTGTGTGATGAAGTGTGTCCACATCACAGTGTCCCACCCGAGCGGCTTCTCTGCCCTAAACAGCCCCGGGCTCTACCTGCTCATCCTTCCCTCCCCCCAAGCCCTGGCAACTGCTGATTGTTTTTACTGTTTCCATGGGTCTGCCTTTTCCAGAATGTCCTATAAATGGACTCACACAGCACGCAGCCTCTGCAGACTGGCTTGTTTCCCTCAGTAATACGCATCTGGGTGTCTTCCATGTTGTTTTGTGGCTTGATATCTGGTTTCTGGATAATTATCCTTTTTTACGTAAGACCCACGCACCAGACACCAGGGCTGGCAGGAACAGCCCGTCCCTGTCCTGGGGCCACCTGGGGAAAACCCCGGGTGTTGCCCCCTGCGGGTCCTGAGCCTCCTTTCCTGGCCTCAGCTCCCTCAGCAACAGGGACAACAGCTCCCCAAGGAGAAACACCCCATCAGAGTCCACATGCAGGGATTTCTTGCAACTGGGCCTCTGTGGGGGTGCAAGGAATGAGTCCACCTTGGGAGGTTAGATGCTCCCACCACAAATGCGCAAGAATCACAGATGGGATCCCAGGGCCAGGCTGACAACCTGCACAGAAGGCCCACCCGTCCCCACCACACAGTGTCTGCTTTCCGCCACCAGAGGGCAGCACCACCGCTCTCAGGACCAGCTGTCCCAGGAGGATTTAGAGGATGCTCCAGGTGGGCAGAGTTGGGCCCCCCCCCAGCAAAACCTATCTTAAAGCAGCTCTCCCCCACCCCATACCAGATGGATCTCCAGTAGCCAGGAAACTGGCGGTGTCAGGCTCTGTGTTTTTGCAAATGACAATAGCTATTGTGTATTGAGCCCATCATCTTAGCAAGCCCCCCCACCCCACCCCCAAGGCAGGTGATGTGAGCAGAGGGCAGATGCGTAGATGGACAGACACACGGAAGGCTGGGTGTTCCAGGTCACAGCACGCAGGAGGTGAAGCTGGGGCTGCACCCAGGCTGTCTGCCCCTGTATCCTGTGCTCCCCCAGGGCTCACAGTGACCCCCAGGGGGGTTGGTTTGACCTTCCCTCATATTGGACTTGAGCCAGATTCTAGTAGTATAAAAACTTGCTTGTCTGCTCGTGGACAGATGATAGGCTATTGTTCTTTGTCTGCCTGACAGATGAGAAGATAACAGTGTGAAGGATCTGTGTCCCACCCTCCACCCCCGACAATCTCCACCGAGCCTCAGAGGTGGACAGGGTGACTCAGGAGCCCGCCGGGCCCTGGGCTGTTCACAGGTTTTAAACCTGGATTCCAGTGGCTCATTCCGCCAGGGGAGTCTTAAATTCAAGCCCAGGGAAATGTCGCCTTCCACCAATTTTATTAAGTAATAGATAAGGCAATTTCTGCACTTTTTCTACAGGAAAAAGAAGTGAAGGGCAAACCTGCTGTTGGCATTTAACCTGGGGTAGGGAATGTCACCATGGCCGTAGGAGGGCAGACAGAGCTCACGGGGCCCCCCGCCCAGCTCTGCACCCTCCAGTCTGCTGTTTGGATCCTGACTCCTCTGGAAACGCGAGGCAGGCGTTGACTCTGGGTCTGGGGTACCCGGAGTGACACCGAATTACTTTTCAAGCTGCTCACCTCCTTTCCTGCACCTTCTCGTTCCCAGGCAGCTGGAACCCTGATACCCTTGGGGTGTTCACAGCCTCCTCCTCAGACAGCTCGCTGTCCCCAGCGTGGCCCAGCCCCCACTTTGTGCCGCCTGCTCTCAAACTCTGCACCTCGGGCAGGGACCGCAGCAGAGAGGAGCCCGGCTCTGGCAGATCAGGGGCTGCTGGGACGCGGGGTCCTGGGGGTGGGGGACAGGTGGGAAATCAGGTGGAGAAATGTCCTCTTCTGTCTGGAGGGACCTCCTTCATGTTTACGACAGGACTGAGGAGACCTTGAGGTCTGGTGCTTGCTCAAAGCTAGTGTTAGACAATTGTGTAAATGGGGTGTGTGTGTGTGTGTAAGTACAAATAGCTTGACCCCCCCCAACAAAGCGTGGCAGGTGCTTCCTCGGCCAGTCCACACCCTGGGCCCACCTGGGGTTTCAGCTGCAGCCAGGTGGACACTCACCTGCACCTGCAAACTTCCTGCCTCAGGTCCCCCTCACTCCTTCCTGCCACCTGCTGGTCCCAGATACACACCTGCAGCCCGTCCTTGTCTCAGCATCAGGCAGGGGACCCCAGACCAAAAAAGGAGGGTGGCATTAGAAGATGTGGAAATGAGAAAAGACACTCCCCGCCCCACGAGAAAAGCAAAGCTGTGTACCCAGCGCTGGCTGGAGCCGGGGGTCGGCCACCTGCACTTGGCAGAGACCTAGAGGCAGGCAGAGCAGAGGGGGAGCTTCCCAGAGGAGGAAGGGGGCTCTTGGGTGAGCCCGACAGGGACTGGGGGCCTGGGGAGGCTGGAAGGGGGCGTCCCACGTGGCTGGTGAGGCAGCGGGTTTGGCTTTCTCCGGTCGGTCCTGAGTCGGAAGGCTCCAGCCTGTTCGGGTGCCTGCCTGGGCCATGCTCTCTGCCCAGCAGGCCTCCGCGCCAGCCTCCAACTCCACCATCCAACCAGCTCCTCCTTGTGCTTCCAGCGACCCTGCTGGTCCCCAGCCCCTGGGCCTCCCCCAGCCCCAGCCCCACCATGGGGGTGTCTCCACTGCCCGGCTAGACCTCAAAGGGGCAGACCCGCTGTGGGCCACAGCATCCTGCGTTCTGGCCTCCGTAGGTGCTTTTGGAGGACGTGGATGAGGAGCGTATGACCCTGCCCAGACCCCAAGAGCCCCACGGCCGGGCCTTTTCACTGTCCGCCCTGACCTGGCCCTCGGTGGGTTCCCAGTGCTTCCATAAACATCCCAGGCCATGGCTGGCTTTAAGGAGGCCAGCAACAATATTCAGGTCAATGGCCCCAGGACGCAGAGGGAATTTGAGGCAAGCTCAAAGGAGGACCATGGTTATTGTACTTGCAGAAGAGAGGACTCCGGGTCTCCTGGCTGCAGAAGGGCTGCCAAGCTCATGGTGGGGGACCTTGCTTCGGAGGCCCTGCCGGTCGAGGACCTGCCAGGTCAAGGCAGCAAGAGAATAGGCTGCCCGTTGGGGTTGTGATCTCTCACCACTGCTGGGATGCCCACCTGGTTGGGGGCCAGATGGCCCACTGGGTGGGGCTGCCATAGAGAGGAGCCCCCCTCACTGGGGGTTGACCAGATGGCCTCTCACATTATCCAGTCCCCTCTGGTCCCCAGGAAAGAAGACGCGTCTGTCCCCTGACACCCTATGGGGCTTGAGCTGGGGCGGGGGCTCCCAAGGCCTCATGCCGCTGCTGCTTCGCTCCGTTGGGCCTGGCGTGTGTCCCACCTTTAACGTGGCTCCTTGTTCCCTCCCTGGCAGTGTCGGAGCCCCAGGCCGCCCACAGCCCCCTGGAGAAGCCGCCCAGCACCGCGATCCTGTGTAACACCTGCGGGAATGTGTGCAAGGGGGAGGTGCTAAGGGTCCAGAACAAGTACTTCCACATCAAGTGCTTCGTCTGCAAAGGTGAGCATCCCTGGTCTCTGGTCTTTGTCCTTGCTGCGGGGGAGGGAGCACGGAAGGATCCGGAAGCTTCCAGAGAGGGCTGCTCGGCGGAGGTGGTGTTTGGGCTCTAACTTGGTGTAAGGATGAATCCGGCCATGGGAGGGGGTGCTGGGCCGGTCCAGGGGGCAGGGGCAGGGGGGTGCCGTGTGGGCCCGCGTCTGCGGTTTGACCGCAGAGTGCTGCCGAGCGGGAGGGGGAGGGGTGAGACTGGGGACCCAGCGTCCTCCCCGTGCCAGCAGCTAGCTGAGGGGGCAGCTGGGGCCTGGGGACGGGGAGCCTGTCCCCAGCTGGATTCCAGACCTGGGTGTGGCCCTGGCTGAGTCCCTTGGAGATTTTTGGGAAGAACCTCCTGGGCGTGGGGGTGCGAGGCCGCAGGTGAGCCCCCGGACCCCAGAGGAGCTCTGTCCGTCGCCACGCCATGGCCTCGGGCCCTCTGTGAAGACTGCATGTCCAGTCCTATTGTTTGGAAAGAAAACTTGAGAACCACTGGCCTGGATTCTTCTGTGGTGACAGGGGACACCCCAGAAATGGCCCTGAAGCCCCCTGGCCCTGGAGGGGGGCAGAGTGCCGTGGGAGACATGGGGGCCCTGTGGGGGCCAGGGACCCCCAGGGGAGACCCAGGGACCTCTGGGGTGGCACCGTCTCTGGCAGGGGTGGGAGTGCGCTGGGACCCTCAGTCTGAGGGTGACATTGCCCCTGCCCCTCAGAGGGGCACAGCCTGGAGGTGCCTGTTTTCTGGGAATGGATGGAGCAGCCCCAGGTGGGGGTGTGAGAATAACAAGCCTTTAGTATCCTGTAAACACTGCCTTTGCCCATGATGCTGCCCCCCTGCCATGGTCAGTGCCCCTCCGCCTTGGTCAGTGCCCCACCACCGCCATGGTCAGTGCCCCACCCCCCGCCGTGGTCAGTGCCTCACCCCTGCCGTGGTCAGTGCCCCAACCCCGCTATGGTCAGTGCCCCACCCCCCACCGTGGTCAGTGCCCCAACCCCGCTGTGGTCAGTGCCCCACCCCCCACCGTGGTCAATGCCTCATCCCCCACCATGGTCAGTGTCCCCCCACCGTGGTCAGTGTCCCACCCCCCCCACCATGGTCAGTGCCCTCATCCTGGTCAGTGCCATCACCCTGCCTGAAGCATCTCTTCCTTTTCATGAGAGCTTCCCAGACCACTGTGGGATTTATCTGGTTTAATTTTCTCTACTCTCCAAAAGACAAATTTGCTGTGTCTGAAGAGCAAAATCCATTAAAATGCTCTTTTAAAAGGTTATTTTTAAAGACACAGGGGAAGCGGCCACCATGTTTAAAAGGATTGTCTGTAAGCACAGACCTTAGGAACCCGATAGAAGGCATGAGACTCCAGAATCGAGTCCTGGTTTGACCCACAGGATTTGGGGGGAGGCGGGGACTGCCCCAGGAGCACCCCCCGCAGTGTCACCTGGGCCAGATCACTTTGTCCTCCGAGCCAGCTCCTGAGCAGGCGTGAGAGTAGCCGTGGCCCCTTCCTCATGGCAGGCGGTGGGCGGCGGGCAGCTCCTGGGACTGGCCCTGTGTGACCGCGGCTGACCCCCCGCGGCTGCTGCAGCCCCGTTCCAAGGCCACAGCCCACACCCACAGCCAGTTACAGAGCCTCACCCCGCGCCAGGCAGCTGTGCCCACGGCCGTGTAGATCAGCGAGGCCCCTGCCCTTGGGGGTGGGGCATCTCAGCCTCACCTGCTGAGGAACGAGGTGGGGCAGCTAAGACTGAGCGCAAGCTGGAAACAGCTGTGTCTGTTTAAGCATGAAGATCCCACAGTCTCAGACTGGTCTTTTATCCAGGTTCTCATGAAAATGCAAAGCCTGTAAATCATTGAGGGTACTTTTGGATGAATCAAAATGAATACCCAACTCATAGTGTCTTAAACAACATGGATGTTTATTGTCTTAACCTAAAGCCTGGAGGTGGCCCCTTTACCCCCCCCCCCCCCCCGCCGAGTTGGTTAACTTAACAGTTCAACAAGGTCGTTAAAGACCCAGGTTCTTTTTCTACTTCCCCACCCCCACTGTCCCCTCTGCCCCTCCCTCATCCTGTGCATGGCAGCAGTACCTCTCCTCATGGTCTCAAGGTGGCTGCTGTAGCTCCAAACATCACATCCTCACAGGGTAGCATCCAACCTGGGAAGGGATTCGGGGTGGGGGGGTGCTATGCACAGGCAAAGGGCTCCCTCCTCACGTGATTCTCCCTTTGACTAGGGAGAACCCTTTCCCCAAGGTCCCCCAAAGACTTCAAATCTGATTTGTTGGCTAGATCTGGGTCTCAGGCCCACCCACGCAGGCACAGAGGACCAGAAAGGAGGGCGGTGACTCACTGAGACCAGTCACATCTGTCCCTGGGTGGGCATGTTGCCAGGTGAACCAAAGCAGGGTCTGTTCGCACAGCTTCTCACCAGAGGCCCCAGTGTGAGGGTTCTTGCCACCTTGGCACTTGTTGGATATGCCTCAGTTTGCCTGGGAAAATCCATGAAATGATCATGTAATTATACTCTCCTTCATGGATGCTCCAGTCCTGGGCTTTGATGCCTGGAGGTCTGGGTGCAAATCCCACCCCTGCCACTCCATTGTGAATGTGGGTCTTAGACACGTTTCCTAACCACAGGGTTCATGCAACAGTGATTTCTTGGGCACCTACTGTGTGCAAGCAGCATTCTGGGTGCTTGAGATGCATCCGTGAACAAAATGGATATGCTTGTCCTCGTGGAGATCGTGTTCTAGTGTGGGGGACAGACCATAAACACTGGATAGGATACATACATTTTATTTAGGTGCCGTACAGGAAAGGTGGAAGAGGGGCTCAGGAAAGGCAGGCATGGGAGTTCAGGAGCAGTTGTTATTTTCAATTGGGTAATCAGGGTGGACCTCACGGAGGAGATGACCTGAGTGAAGACTTGAGAGCTATTTGGGAAGAGCCTTGCAGCCTGAGCAAGCATCTGGGACAAAGACAGGAAAGCAGGGTGTGTGCCTGGTGGACCCGGGGACAGGCCGGAGCAGAATGAGCGATGGGGACGGGTTCCTTGTGAGGCCCTTGGCTCTGGCGTCCAGGGACGACGGACAGAGGAGGGCTCTGCAGTGCTGTGCAGGGGCGCAGCTGGTGTGCGGCGAAGGGCTCCGGGGCCAGAGCCCATGGTGTCCGCCCTGGGAGGATGTGCGATTCTGGCTGGGACTTGAAATCTGGCCGGCTCTATTCTCACGCTGCAAAATAAGATAGAAATGTGTCAAACACCCAGCACATAGTAGGTCCTCAAGATAAAATGAAAGTGTTGCCGTTTTTACAAACAACGTGAAATTTGCCTCGAAAAACCTCTTGACCGTGTATGTGCAGCCAAGTCCTGCACCTTTAAAACTGGGTTTTTTGACTGTGGTCTTCTGTACCCCGCTGGTAATGCCCTGGAAACATGGCCCCGGTCTGAAATGCTGAGCACGGGAGGCCATATCCACCTGTGACCCCTAGAAAGCAGGCGTTCCTGATCCGGGAAGCCATGGGACTGAGCAGAACCACGATTGTGGAGCGAGCCAGGCAGCGAGGGAAGGGGGTGTGATGGGGGGGTAAGCCCCCCAGCTCTGCCAGTAGCTTGGTGGCAGCTACGGGGTGTACGGCAAGGACACATCCATCTGGGACTATAAATAGCCACCGGAGAGCCACTCTGGGCACCTGGGGGTGACAAGGGAATGGTGCAAAATGCCTGCATTCTCTCCTTTGGGGCATTCCCGGGGCATTCATGAGAAACCGACCAAGGGCTTCTAGAGCCAAAGGAAAGCTTCAGACACGTGGGCCTCGTCTGCCTGCCCAGCGCACGTGTCCTTCTGCACAGCCTGACCCACGCAGGGTGCTCCAGGATATGCGGCACGTGGCAGGAAGACACTCTGGCAACAGGGGGCTGTTGGTACAGAAGGAGGGTCCCAGGGGACAAGAATCGGGTGAGCGCTGGCTGGCCGTGGCCATGAGCCCCGGGCCGGCTGGCTCCGATCAGGCCGTGGGGGTCGCCTGCAGTGGTTTCCTTGTGTTCTGATGTTCGCTGCTCCGTTCTTGGCCCCCCAGCACAGAGAGCCGTAGGAGAGAGTAGGTCACATCCCTCCGGGGCCACCCGAGGGGACCCCTGTCAGGTTCGGTATGCAGCCTCCCCATCCTGTGCTCTGTGAGTCTCTTTGACTGGAAGTCATGTTGTATCCCTACTTCTGTGTCCTGACTAATTCACCGCCCATGAGCCCATCCTGTAAGGGCTTCAACCTCAAGTCCCTCACGTGCGAGGCCCACGGTGAACTTGGCCGTCCCTCTGCTGTTGGACGCCGACATCCATTCCAGCCCGGCGCTGAGCCACGTGGTCGCCCGCACCCGATCTCACTGACTTCTTAAGACAGCCATGCAAGATATGGGTGCGCTTGACCCAGTTTAGAGACGAGGACTCGGAGGTCCGGAGAGGTGACGTGGCTTGCCCAAGGCCACACGGTGGGGAAGCAGTGGAGTGAGGGTTCAAAGCCAGGTGCCCGACTCTGAACCCAGCCTGAGTGTACCAGGGCATGTAATGCTGCCACAGAACTTCTGTGGGTGTTCCTGGTCCTTTCCTGGGGATAAAGTCCCGGAAAGGAGATCGATGGGTCAAAGGGTAGGAGCGGTTTTCACGTTCTTTAGAGTCAGCGCCGAACGGTATTCCAGAAAGCGTCTCCCCCCCGCTGCCCGCGCTCCTGAGCGTTTCTCGTGAATGACCACAGGGAAGGGGGACCGACCCTCAGGGTCACCCACAGCTGCTCCACTCCCCGTATCAGTGTTGGGTAACTCGACAGGCAAGAGAGAATGTCATGATTGTCCCGATTATCTGCAGCTTTTATTCTGAGCGGGCGGAGGTCCGGAGCTGCAGTCCTGACGTGCCTGGGGGAGCTGCAGGCCAGCCAGGAGCTGGGGTGACCAGCAGGGACAGGCGTGGCTGGAAAGGGCTTCATGGGCTCCCCGGGGCCTGCGATGCTGACTCACGTGGTCTCAGCGTCAGCACATTCTTCTCCTGGATCCAGGATGTGCTAGCAGATCCTTGCAAAGATCAGGGAGACAGCCAGACGCCAGAGTGCAGGTACCCTTGGGTCACCCTGGCGCTCCACGACAAGGCCCCGGGTAGGCTGTTCTCCCCAAGTCGGGGTACGCCTGCTGGGCGTGCAGTGCACCGTGGTGCAAGAGGACACCGAGGGTTTGCACTCTCCTGCTGGGAGTGGAGGGTTCAGGCCTGGCCACGGCCTCGGCCTCCAGGGATGAGTGATGTCAGGGCAGCTGCAGCCTTGCTGGGGCCCCGCGTAACTCGGGGCTCAGACAATGCTTCTCCGTGCTGCTGTTTTTACCTTGGAAGTGGGCTGTGTTCCAGATGAGGCCGCAGAGGCCCAGAGAGGTTCAGGAGCTTGCCCGGGGCACACAGCCAAGTGCACAGATGAAGCCGGGATCCAGCGCCAGGCCGCTCCAGCCTCTGGGCTCTCAGCTGCCCAGCTTCGGCCTCACTTTGTCTGCAGAAGCTAACGTCTCCTCAGAGCACCGCTCCAGTGTCCGTAACTGGTGTGCAGCGCGTGCCACCATGTGGCCCTGGCGAGGGGACGGGGACCCTGGAGCGGCCCACGCTCTCACCTTGTGTGGGGATGGGGCTGAGCGGAGGGGGCATCCCTCCCCGCAGGGCCGCCTGGACCCTCAGGGGGCAGGTGAGTAGTGAGGCATGAGCTGAGGGGGCCCCCGCTGACCAGGCCAAGCAGACCGGGCCCTGGGGGACCCCGACTCCCTGGAGATTCGATCTCCAGACTCCAGACTTCCACAGATGCTCTCCTGAAACTTGACCCGCCTGAGAAGGCGCCTGGGGGTGGGGAAGGCTGCCAGGCTTCCCTCGCTTCCCCGACTCCCAGGGCACCAAGCCAAGGAGGGGTTGCACGGTCGGGGCTCCCGTGACCAGGCACTGGGGGCTCCTCTCGGTCACCAGCGCCCCTGGCACCAAGCACTGACGCAGGAAGGTTTTCCTTTATGTATCCAAACTGATTTACCAACATTTATCATGTATGTGTTATTTTGATAGCTTTCTACTAATCTTTGTAAAAAAGAGACCCCAATCCAGAAATAACTTATTAAGTGTTTACAGCCTTGTGACCACAAGAAATTCTGAATAAATCAATGTCCACGTTGACTCTGGAATTTTTTGTTGCAGAGAGCACAATGGGGCACTTCTAGTCTTTTTTTTTTATTAGTTATTTTTTTATTAGTTTTGAGGTAGAGGTCAGTGACTCATCAGTTGCATATAACACCCAGTGCTCATCACATCACGTGCCCTCCTTCATGCCCATCACCCAGTTACCCCATCCCCCCAGCCACCTGCCCTCCAGCAACCCTCAGTTTGTTTCCTAGAGTTCAGCGTCTCTTATGGTTTGTCTCCCTCTCTGATTACGTCTTATTTTATTTTTCCTTCCCTTCCCCTATGATCCTCTGTTTTGTTTCTTAAATTACACCTATGAGTGAGATCATATGGTATTTGTCTTTATCTGATTGACTTATTTCGCTTAGCATAATACCCTCTTCCATCCACATCGTTGCAAATGGTACGATGTCATTCTTTCTTATGGCTGAGTAGTATTCCATCGTAGATATGAACCACATCTTCTTTATCCACTCATCTGTGGATGGACATCTGGGCTCTTTCCACAATTTGGCTGTTGTGGACATTGCTGCTATGAACATCGGGGTGCATTACATTTGCGTACAGTGCTTTGGGGAAGTAGAGTGGACATAGACTTTCCAGGCAGAAAAGGGACAAGGTGAAGTTTCTGCTTACTGTGAGTTGGCTATGGGTTTTGCAAGTAGATGTTGGTGGTCTTGCTTTGGCATCTACCTTCCACTGCATGTGCTCAAAAGGATGACGTGAGTTAAATTTCAAGATGCCGATACTTAGAATTCACCAGAAACAGCATCCTTTGCAATCAGTTGATGTGTTGATGAAACATTTTCAGTGTTGATTCAAAAACACGGTGAAGAAAGAAGGAAGGAAGGCAGGCAGGCAGGAAGGACATGGTTTTCAAGACTCTGCTTGGGGGCTGGGACCCACGAGGACCCAGGACTGACCCGGCCGGCAGGGCCGGGGCTGCAGGGTGTCCTCCTCGCCTCTCAAGGGGAGCGGCTGGGCAAGCCGGGGTGGGGGGGCATAGGCGGCTCCCTCCAAAACCATGCGTGGCTCCCACGTGCCCCTGGGCTGGAGGGGGAGTGTGTGGGGTGGACGCATGGGTGTCCCGGACTCAGACTGGCGGGCTGTCTCGAGAAAGCCGCCCCATTCCCCACCTGGCAAAGTGTGCAAAAAGGATTCGCGTTTGAGTGCTCACTGTCTCTCTCCCTCCTGTGGGAGGTCTGGCCTTGTCCGCACTCTGGGAGACAGACATCGGGACATGGAAATGGGCAGGAGTCAGGGAGGGGAGTGGGGGGTTCACTGTGGCCTGGGGGCAACCACGGGACACATCTGTCCTCCGCCGCACGGGATCTTCCCGCCCAGAACAGAGCACCTTGCCGGTGTGTTGTATCCCATGCTGGGAACAGCCCGGTTGGGGTCACAGAGCGGCTCATGGGCGCCAGCACTCCACCCCCGCTGGGCTCACGGGTGCGGGCCCCTTAGCATGGCCTCATTCTCGTCCCGAGTCCTGCTACTTTTCTGGAAGCTTCCCCAAGAAAGTCCACCCAGCACCAGGCTGAGGGCAGAGCTGGAAGTCTGTTCCTGGAGCCCGGCCCCACGCAGGGGTTCGGCGAGTCACCGGGACCTGTCAAGGGGGAGCTGTGTGTGGGGGGACCCGGCAGACGGTCAGCACCCCGCTGACGCTGCTTCTTCCCCCCGCCCCCCAGCCTGCGGCTGTGACCTGGCCGAGGGCGGCTTCTTCGTGCGGCAGGGCGAGTACATCTGCACGCGGGACTACCAGCGGCTGTACGGGACCCGCTGCTTCAGCTGCGACCAGTTCATCGAGGGCGAGGTGGTGTCGGCGCTGGGCAAGACCTACCACCCCGACTGCTTCGTGTGCGCCGCGTGCCGGTGAGTCGGGCCGGCTGGGCTCCCTGCTCCTGCCCTGCTCCTGCTCCCTCCTCCTCCCTCCTCCTCCTTCCCTCCTCCCTCCTTCCCTCTATCCTCCTCCCTCTTCCCACCTTCCCTCCGTCCTCCTCCCTCCGTCCTCCTCCCTCCTCCTCCTTCCCTCCTCCCTCCGTCCTCCTCCCTCCTCCTCCTTCCCTCCTCCCTCCTTCCCTCCTCCCTCCTTCCCTCCTCCCTTCTCCCTCTGTCCTCCTCTCTCCTTCCCTCTTTCCCTCCTCCCTTCTCCCTCCATCCTCCTCCCTCCTTCTCCTTCCCTCCTCCCCTCCCTCCCTCCTCCTCCTTCCCTCCTCCCTCCTTCCCTCCTCCCCTCCCTCCTCCCTTCTCCCTCCATACTCCTCTCTCCTTCCCTCCTTCTCTCCTCCCTTCTCCCTCCCTCCTCCTCCTTCCCTCCTCCTTCTCTCCCTCCTCCTTCCCTCCCTCCTCCCTCCTTCCCTCCTCCCTCCTTCTCTCCTCCCCCTCCCTCCTCCCTTCTCCCTCCATACGCCTCTCTCCTTCCCTCCTTCTCTCCTCCCTTCTCCCTCCATATTCCTCTCTCCTTCCCTCCTTCTCTCCTCCCTCCTTCCCTCCTGCCCCCTCCCTCCTTCCTTCCTCCCCCCCTCCTTCCCTCTTCCCTTCTCCCTCCCTCCTCCTCCCTCCATCCTCCTCCCTTCTCCCTCTGTCCTCCTCTCTCCTTCCCTCTTTCCCTCCTCCCTTCTCCCTCTGTCCTCCTCCCTCCTTCCCTCCTCCTCCCTCCTCCCCCCTTCCTCCCTCCTGTTGGGCCACAGCTGGGAGGGGAGGCAGGACACAACCCCGGGGTGGCAGGTGGACACAGGACAGCTATGCACCGAGGCACACCTTTGTCCAACCGCAGACCTTGCAGGCCTCCACCCCTTGCCCGATATGCAGGACCAGGCTCTCTTTCCTGGGGGACCCAGAGTCCAGCAGGTTCTGAGGCTGCCAATGGGGCCTCCTTGGGCTTTTGGGAAGGAGCTCCCTCCCCGCCCTCCTCGGCCCCCTTGGTGAGCTCCTCTCCTCCCAGCATCCTCCACACGTTTCTTCTCTCTCTTGCTGTGTCCACACTTCAGCCCCTCCTTGACCACCCACCGCCACCCCTCAGCTGTCCTGAGTCCTTGATCTATGGGTGGCCCCTCACCCATCCCCCTGGGTTCCAGATTTGGGGAAGGGTCCCTCCCTTTCTAGCATCTGCCCAGCCACTAGCCCCGCTCAGGTCTCAAAGTGTGCCTGCTTGGGGTCCTGCCATGGCCTCCACACTGGGGTCCCTGCATCCCCTCTGTCTGTCCCTCCGCCCCGCTGCCCCCTGGCATCCATGAGAAAGTACAAGCCGCTCAGCCTGGCTGAGACGGTCTTCACAGTCTGCTCTCGTTCCTTCCCTCCTTCACTCATTCATTCATTCATTCATTCATTCAGCTGGGCCCTTTAAGCACCTCTGCAGGCCTGGCACAGGGCTGGCACCGGCGGCTTGGAGACGCAGTGGCTCAGACTCTACAGGGCTCTGCACCTAGAGACACTGAAGTATGAGGATGCCCCGCCCAGGGCCTTTCCTACCCTGGGGAACAGCTCTCTCCCTCCTTGGGACACCCACTGTGCCCGCTGCTCTCCTAGACCCCCCCGCCCTGGCAGCCACTTGATGTGAGCTCCGTGCGGGCAGGGGCTGGGTCTGACTCCTCCACCTCTGTGGGGCCAGGTGCCCGGCCCAGAGCAGGGACAAGGCGGAGGATGGCTGGAGTTAGACGAGAGCCTAGTCCTCGCAGCAGGGCCACAGCCGGCTCCCCGGTGTGCCCTGCACCTCTGGGGACTTAGGAGGGAGCCTGGGAGCAGCTTTGCCACGTGAGCAGCCTCCTCCTGCACCCACCCCTGCCCTAGACACACTGCTCCCAGGGAGACGTTCTATGTCTAAGAAACAGAGAACAAAGAGAACCCAGAGTTTATCTGCTCTGTTTTCTCTGTCTCAGCACAGCCAGTTTCAAGGGGACTTTCTGAGTGTTATCCGTGGGTATGGCATGTGTGCTGGACAAAAATGGATGTTTCTGCCAGAGGGATGCAGAGAGGAGGGGACGATGACGGGGAGTATTTCTAATGACAGTCACTATGCTGTTGCAGCTAGTGTGGGTCTCAGAGTTCCCGCAAGGATGATCCAATGATTGATTTCCATGCAAACAGCTTAGAGACAAGGGGACATAATCAGAATAAGTTTGAAAGATCACCTCTGGATAATCTTCTGTTTTTAAAATAACAGCAGACAGCTCTGTCACACTGGAGTAACTGGGCTGGACTTACCAGCCTCTGTACAGAACTGCAAAACTCTACATGAAGCAATTGTTTGGGGGCATTGGGGCACAGTCTGTGTGGGACTAAGACCAGGACCACAAAGGCAACGGAGCCCACAACCACCCAGCTTTGTGCCCGGAGGCAGTTCCTGGAGAGATGAGTCAGGAGGCAGTGATACGAGCAGTGGGGGCTGTGCTCTGGGGCGGGGGTGGAGCCACACAGAGCAAGCGCAGAGAGCAACATGGGGGCACCTTTGAGCCTTTCACTGAACACAAAGCCACATAGGCATAGAGGACATTTCACAAGGTGGACAAAGGATGGCTAGATTGTTGTAAGCTGAACGGTTCCTGGGGCTGGAAGACATTCGAGGTGTGACCAGGTTGTTGAACACCCAGGTACGCAATGGGGATGCCAAAAAAGTCATGCCTTATTGGTGGGACTAAAATAGCCCTAGAGCAGGGGTGCCTGGGTGGCTCAGTTGGTTAAGCGACTGCCTTCAGCTCAGGTCATGATCCCAGGGTTCTGGGATCGAGCCCCAGGCTCCCTGCTAAGTGGGGAGCCTGCTTCTCCCTCTCCCTCTGCCTGCTTCTCTGCCTACTTGTTCTCTCTCTCTATCTCTCTGTCAAATGAATAAATAAAATCTTTTAAAAAAATAAAATAACATAGCCCTAGAGCAAAGGCTACAAGCAGCTGCTGAAATGAAGTATAAGAATAAACCCCCAAAAGTTTGCACTGATCTGCAAATGAGCTAACTGCCTGCCAGAGCAAGTCCAGCACTCTTCATAGGAAGACGGAAAATCCAGCCCTCAGCAACATAGCATCAGCAGTGCCCAACATCCAGTTGGATCTTATTAGTCATAGAAGCTGGGAAATGAGACCCAAAGCCAGAAGAAAACCCAGTCAATAGCAATAGACCCAGAAATGAGAGTGATGTGAAACCAGCAAATGGTGGCTTTGAAACAGTATTGAAAATATGCTTAGGTATTTAAAGGAAAATGTGAATGTAAGAGAAGTCTTACAGAAGGGATAAAAAGAAGCCAAATGGAAATTCTTGAAATGAAAATGACAATTTCTGAGATGACAGATCGCTTCAAAGGGATTAGCAGTAGATTAGGTATTGCAGAGGAAAGGCTTGGTGAACCTGAAAACGTAACAACAGAAACTATACAGACTAAAGCACAGAGACAGAAAAGACTGGAAAACATGAAAACAGATTCAGGGATCTGTGGATAATGGATCTTTCTGCCTGTCTGGGCTGGGAGGGGGAAACCCTGGAGGTAAGGGAAATCCAAATAATTGAAGAAATAATGGCTGAAAATTTTCCATTCTTGATGAACACTATAAACCCATGGATCCAGGAATCTTGATAAACCCCAAGCAGAAAAAACATGACAGAAACCTACTAAGTCCTTCATAATCAAATTTCTGAAAAATAGTAATAAGAATTCTAACAAGGAGTAAGAGAAAAGACCCACATCATATACAGTGGAATGAAAGAATGACTGCAGACTTCTTACCTAAACTACGCATCCTAGAAGACAATGGAATGGCATCTTCAAAAAGTTATAAGGAAAAAATCAAACAATTTCATACCAAGCCAAAAAAAAAAAAAGGAAGAAAAAGACTTTCAAAAAATGAAGGCAAGACCTCCAAAGACTATGGGGTTTCTTTTTTGGGGTGATGAAAAAGTCCTCAAATTGATCATGGGGACACATACACGAGTCTGAATACACTAGAAACCGTTGAATCATACACGTTGAATGGTATGAACGTTATGTACAGGCATACCTCGTTTTGTTGCACTTCACTTTATTGAGTTTTGCAGATACTGCATTTTTTACCAATTGAAGGTTCGTGGCCACCCTGCATCAAGCAAGTGTGTCGGTGCCATTTTCCGACAGTAGTTGCTCACTTCATGTCTCTGCGTCACCTTTTGGTAATTCTCACAATATGCCAAACTTTTGTATGATTATATTTGTCATGCTGGTCTGTGATCAGTGATTACGACTTGCTGAAAGTTCAGATGGTGGTTAGCATGTTTTTTAGCAATAAAGTACTTTTTGTTAAGTAAGGTATGCACTTCATTTTTTAGACTTAATGCTATTGCACATTTAATGGACTACAGCATAAACATCACTTTACTATGCACCAGGAAACCAGAAGATCCATTTGACTTGCTTTATTGCAATATTTGCTTTATTGCAGTGGTCTGGAACTGAAACTGAAGTATCTCCAAGATGTATGTGATTAGAATAACATGAATAAATGTGTCCCCCCTGCAAAAAAGAAAAATGAAGGCGAAATAAAGACTTCTGTAGACACACAAAAGCCTAGAGAACTTATTGCCAGCACACCTACCTGACAGTAAAATTAGAAGAAGAAAAATGATGTCAAAAGGCATCGGTAAAGTACAGAAGCAAGCCATCAACTGGTAGATAAGATATATCTGATGAGGGCCTGGCATCCAAAATACATAAAGAACTTCTACAAGTCATCAATAAGAAGATAAACAAAAACCCTATAAAAAATGGGCAGAAGAGTTTAACAGACACTCCACAGAAGAATAGACATGAATGACCATAAGCACACGCAACAGTGCAGATTAAAGTGGTGGACTACCATCATCTATCCAGAATGGCTAAAGCTAAAAAGGTGGGTAATGACAAGTGTTGGTGAGGACATGAAGCTGAAGGAATGCTCATGTATTGCTGGGGCGAATGCAAAGTGGTACAACCTGTCTGTAAATCAGTTTAGCAGTTTGTTTGTTATAAACATAGAGTTAACCTATGACCCGGTGATTCCACTCCTAGGTATGCATGTACCCAAGAGAAGTGGAAACACATGTCCATGGAAAGACTCGTCACCAAACATTCTTAGCATTTTTATTTGTAACAGCCCCAAACTGGAAAGAGCCCAAATGTCTTTCGGCAGTGAATGGAATCATGTTGTCCCTCATCTGTCCAGTGGAGCACTACTCCACCGTAACAAGGGGCAAGCCACTAATGCACACAACCATGTGAGTGAATGTCAGGGGCAGGACGCTGAACCAGACATCAAAGACTACACACGGTGTGATTCCATATGTATGCAGTTGCAATTCTAGAAAAGACAGTTCCAATCCACAGTGACGGAATGCCCACCATGGTTGCCTGGGGCCAGGGGTGGTGATGGGGGGTGATTATGGACAGTCACAGGGGACTTTCTGCAGTGGACAGAATGTCCCGTATCATGACTGTGGTGTTGATAACATGAATGCGTGTATTTGTCAATGTACATTTCAATAAAGTTGAACTAGCAAAATAATAGCTATCATTTATTCAGCCCCTCCTGGTCCCAGGCAGTATGCTAGAGCTTTCCATGCAGTTTGTCTGATGGATGGATGGATGGAAGGGAGATGGATGGATGGATGAATCGACGGATGATGCATGGATGCATGGATGGAAGGAGGGATGGATGGAGGGATGGAGGGATGGAGGGATGAATAACAACCCCATGAGATTGACCGTACCTCAGGTATTACCAGTCCCACTTTACAGGTGAGAAACAGGACTCAGACAGGGTAAGTAACTTGCCCTGGGATCCATAGCCAGAGACCCTGTCAGAGCACATGCAGGGAAGGCGAGGACCCCCCACTCTATGCCAACACCCCACATTACCAGGCCAACTGTAAGACTCTAAGAAGGACTGGCAGAGCACAGCATTGGCCACAGGTGATACAGCTCAAGGCATTAGCTGCAAGGCTCCGGGCCCCAAGAAGCCAGGTGCACACGGCTGTCTCACAAGCCTGGGCAGGTGGGCCAGCTCAGCCTGTATTTGCCTGGATGAACACCAGTTGTACAAGGTGGGGGCTAGGGCAGGCTCCGTTGGGGGGAGGCATGCTCCCAGCTCGGGCCTGGCCTGGGGCTGGTGTGACCCGGCAGGCTGCGTGGGGAGGCCAGGCAGGAGGGGGCGCTGCGTTAGGCCCCCCTGGAGGCCTTCAGTCATTCACTCGTTCACTCACTCATTCACTCATTAGCAAGTACCTACTGAGTGCCCGGATGCTCCATGGATTGTCAGCCCTGAGAAGGCAGAGGGGAGACATGAAGTTTTAACCCGAGGAAAGGGCATGTCCTGGTCCAGAGAATGCTGCAGGCCACTGCCCCAGAGCTCAGGTTCTCTGGCTGGGCTGAGCAGGGGAAGGAAAGTGGCCCCAGGGCAGCTGGGAGCTCAGTGGCAGCAGGTGGCTGGGATGGACACTGGCAGGACACTGAAGTCGGTCTTCCAGCCCCTGACTGCAGGTGGCCTATCCCTCGCTTGCCGACGGGCAGCCACCTTACCCATCTCCCAGGCACCAGGGGGGGACGTCCTTGGTGCAGGGAGGTGAGGCGGCTCTCTTCTGCCTCCACCCAGCCTGCACCGGGGCTGGGACTCTCTCTGGATGCAGAATTTCAGCGAGTGCCCAAAAAATAAGCGATCAAGGTAAATGATATTTTAATGTGGTATTTAAAAAATTAAGGGGCGCCTGGGTGGCTCAGTTGGTTAAGCGACTGCCTTCGGCTCAGGTCATGATCCTGGAGTCCCGGGATCGAGTCCCGCATCGGGCTCCCTGCTCGGCAGGGAGTCTGCTTCTCCCTCTGACCCTCCCCTCTCATGTGCTCTCTCTCATTCTCTCTCTCTCAAATAAATAAATAAAATCTTTAAAAAAAAAATTAAAAATTAAAAATTAGTGCAAAAACATCCATGATAAGCAAAATGCCAAACTTAAATAGAGATGGATATAACGTGCGATACCTTGTTGTCTACAAGGCCTGCTTGTACAAGGCACTGACTTCTTAGAGGCCCGAGTAGGTAAATAAATCATGGGGCTTTGGAGCCTGAACGGGTCTTGGTTTGACTCTGGTTCTGACATGCATCAGCTGTGCGTCCTTGGAAAAGTTAACTATTGTCTCTGAACTTCCCGAAGTTATTACATGAGGCATGCATGTGGGGTATCTACCGTAATTCGTGGCACCTAACACACAGTAGGTGCTCAGTAAATGCTAGCTGTTGCCATTGCTTCAACTGATATGGACAAAGCATCCTGGGTGGTCAGAGGAGGCAGGGGGGAATGGAGGAGGGGGCGGTTGAGGCTGCCTGGTCCGTTGCCACGTGCCAAACACGGGGCTGGCCCTCACTGCTCCTCATCAGGGCCCTGCCATCCTGCCTGTTTGTGCAGTAGAGGACCGAGCCGGGACTCATGTGGCAGGAACGCAGGGGGGCCTGGGTGGGGAGGCCCTGCATCCTCAGCCTGTGGCACCTGTCCCCACAAGGCCCCGGGGGAGGTGGTGGTATACTGGGGGGGGTGTCTGGCCCCTCCTGCCCCCACCCAGGAGAAGAGCCGGAGGTGATCCTGGCTGGTCACGTGCTATCTTGTTGCAGGCTGCCCTTCCCGCCGGGGGACCGAGTGACCTTCAACGGGAAGGAATGCATGTGTCAGAAGTGCTCCCTGCCCAAGACAGCGGGCAGCAGCGTGCACCTGTCCCAGGGCCTCTGGAGTAAGTGGGCACCGAGCGGCGCGGGGGTGGGGTAGGGGCATGGGGGGCTGGCCTCCTCAGGGCCCGGGGAGGGGCCTGACCCCACGGACCCAAAGCAGAAGCGGTGGGAGTGAAGGGTGACTGTGGATGACAGACACAGGAAGGGAACCGGGGACAGAAGTTTTTAGGGGGCTGTGCCGTCCAGCCTGGTCTAGCCGGCCTCCTCCAGGAAGCCTCCTGGCCTCCTCTGGTCCTCCCCCCGACACACACACACACACACACACAGACACATTCAGCTCCACAGATAATTCTAGACCTTCCAGAAGCCCTTTGGGGGAGCCATTAGGAAAGCACTGAACTCTGGGCTCCTGAGGTCGAGAGCTCCTGGGTTAACTGCTGCAAGCCCTGGGAGCAAGGCCAGGGTTTGTATGCAGTGGTACTCAATAGATGCTTGTTGGATGCAGAAGCAGACTGTCATGGAACAAAGGTGGGCTGGAGTGTCGCTGAGGGTGCAGGGCAGCGAGAAAGCAAGGTGGGGCAGGCAGGAGCCTGCCTTCCGCAGCTTCTGCGGCTCTTCTGGGCCAGATGTGGGACGCGGGGACCGGGAAGGGGGCCCGGAGCTCCAGGGCCCGCTGCTGCCAGGCTCCCCGGGCAGAAATGGAGTTTCAGAGCCCACCCTGCGTGCCGTGGTCACGGTGTACCCCAGTGCTGGGGTTGTGTGCCCCTCGACAGAGGAGGGCTTTCTGCTGACCTCCAAAACCAGCCCCTCGCTCTTAGTTCATTCCCTGTCCCCGTGAAGCACCTTCTTCCCACCTCAGGTGTTGAACTGTTGAAAGTCTCTCCAGAGGAGATTGCACCTGCAGCCTTCTAGAAGCTCAGGGCTGGCCTCAGGGTCTGGGAGTAGTTTTGCTCTGTGAAAGGAGGCAAAGTCTTCATCCCCTGGGGAGGCAAGCTAACAGCAGTGCTAGCTGGTCAGGCTGTGGCTTTGGGGCTTGCTGGGAGAGCCCTCCATTCAAAACTTTCTCTCCCACTGAGGATGGGGATTGCTTGAACTTCTGAGAATTTGCTTTGCAATCAATACTGTTATAATTAAATCTGAAATAGTAATCAAAAACTCTAACAAGCAAAATCTAAAAGGGGGGTGAGATTAGTTTGAACAGTTTGTCCAGAGCTCCCTGGCAGCCTGAGTAAAAAGGGAAATATGCCTGAACCCGGACTCATTGGGAATATTGTGAGTTTTAAAAGGCTCTGACCTTTCCAAATGTAAATTTATTTTAAAATACCCAATTTACCTTTCCAGAGGACAAATGCTCCCCTGACCCTCAGATGGTCTAATAATGTGACCTGCCCCCTCTTCTGGTCCACAGTGAGACTCTCCAGCCTAGCACCTTTTTTGTGCCTAGAAAGTGTTAAACATTCATCACCAGTTCTTGGTTCCTGTGTGGATGTCTTCAAAATCTTCCGAATTCCTGCTTCCTTTTGTGCCCAGAGCAGCCCTGCCAGGCAGGAAGCCTCTGCTCCTTCTATAGGTGCAGAAGTGCCCCGGTCTGGTGGCACGGTGGCTGTGGGCCAGGCGCCCCGTGGCCAGCTAGAGAATGGTGCACCTGAGGCTTGAGCCAAGGCCTTCAAACCCCAAAGCCAGGGAGCTTACCCTGCTGTGACCAGATGTTTTGGAGGAGGTGGCCTTAGTTCTGAAACTTGACACAGAGGTTCAGGTAGGCGGGCATTGAAGGGAAGGCACTACAGAACAGGGAGAAAGTGGAAGGTGCCGTGGGCAACCACCAGACCCTTGTGAGTGGACAAGGGGGGCTGCTGTGTGGGGACAGGGAACAGAAGGAAACGGGAGAGATGGAAACCAGAGGGCCAAGCCATGCCAAGGAGTCCCAAGCGTGTCCCGGAGGCAACAAGGAGCCGTAGATGGTTGTTGAGTGAGGGATGCTGGGAGGAGCCTGACAGTGTGGTTTGCCTGCAGGTTGCAGGGCTGGGGAGGGACCGCGGCCCCCTGCAGCGGGGTGCGAGGAGGAAAGCCGTCCTCTCCTGGGGCAGCTGTGGAGGTAGGAGTCCAGCTGGAGTCCTGGGCCCTGAGCGTCCTTCAGAGTCCCTCTTCCGCTCTCTGGCCCGGAGCCTGTTGCTTAGGAACAAGATAAGCACTTGGCATTGGACGCCCACGCCATTCCATCCCTGGAGGAGCACACCCTTCCTTCTGAGGCTTGCACAAGAGTGTCTGCCCTGGGCCGCCTCCCCCACCGCCCGGGGGAGGGTCTCCTCCCCAAGAGGGCTTGTTGCTTCTCCTCCTCCCGGCTCCCCTTCACTGGCCTCCCCCAGCCTTCTGCTCTGACCTGGTTGCTGGTCTCGCTGTCACAGGGCAGCCCTCCCTGGGGGGCCTGGCGCCATGACAGCAGGGGCAGCTCTGGGCCCGGCTGCCCCAGGTGAACCCTCCCAATCACCCCTGTGTGCCCTGGGCAAGCTGTGTCCCCTCTCTGGGACTGGGCATGGGGTCAGAAGTGCGTGTGGGCGTGGGGCAGGGCGGGCAGGATGTGGGGCCTCGGGGGCACGGAGTGGGGAGCCGCTTTGTCCAAGCTGAGGGGCCCTGGGGCCTGTTCTTGGGCTTGGTCACCCGTTCCGCACCCACCCCGGCTCTGTGCTTCTCCGGCTGGGGCTCAGCCCTACCAGGGCATAGATGGATTCACACCCAGAACCTGGGGTCACCCTGGAGCTGAGGCCTGGAGGCCCCTCCAGAGTCAGCAGGAAGGGGGGCAACACCAAGGGTCCACAGCCCTTCCCTCTGAGACCAGCTGGTCTGTGGCCCTTGGAGCTTCTGTGTCTTCTTCCCTGAGAGAGGCTCCCCTAAACCCCTCACTGGCCCACTCCTGCCTGGGAAACGGGGCAGTGAGGCTGTGAGGTTATATGCCCTGTGGGTTGTACGGCTGGGGGGCACCTCCCCTGTGGGGTGCCGCAGCCCCCAGGAGCCAACTCCCACTCCCGGCCGCCTTCCAGCCGTGCGCCTCACGCCCCCATATTGCATCAGGGGCGGGTTTCTCCGGTTTAGCTCAGAGCCCCAGTGCGTGGGGCACGCTTGAACACACTTTTTCTCTCCCAGCTGCTCCCGGCTCTTCCACTCAGTTTGGGGCTTTCAGAGAAACGACAGGCCCCGCTCATAACATGTCAGCATTTTCACGTTTTAGACCTCAGTGGGCTCCATGCTTTCCAAAGTCAGTCTCAGATTCGACTCAGAGCCCTCCCCTGCTCCCCGACCCGGTTTGACCTGGAGGGCAGGGGCGAGGGTGGGTCCCACCTTCCCCAGTTCACAGCTGGGGCACAGAGAGGCCGCCCCACATGTCCTGTGTCCCACACAAGTTAGTGGCAGAGCTGGAGATCCGTGCCACATCTGCTAGAGGAGGGAGCACTCTGGGGGAAACAGGAAACTGTTTGGAACTTTCTAGAAGGGCCGTGTTGGGGCGGCAGCCCAGGCCCATCTCCGTTGCTGTGATGAGCCAGTCCAGGGTGTGTGGGTGAGCGGGCGGATTCCCACGACCTCTGCCCCAGGCAGTGGGGACACACTCCCCCGAGGACATGCCCTCTGCTGATGACTGTTGGCGTCAGGACTCACGACAAGACTCTGTGCTGTCCTTTGCAAAGCCCTGCAAAGTGACGCTGAGCTCCAGTTGTGTTTAGAAAGTGATGATTGCTGTTTCCACGACAACGGTCCTTTGTGCATGTTGCTCTTGCCTCCGAGGTCAGGGCTTGCTGTTCGTGAGACTCTGCCCCAAGTTCGCTGCGATGAGTGAGGGGCTGGGGCCGGTGTCAGGTCCACATCCCCCTGCAGCCTCAGCTGGCATGCTGACCCGGAGCCTCTGGGCCCTCCCCTGGGGCCGGGCAGGAGGCAGACTCTCCCGTCCAAGGTGTCCTCAGATGGCTACCGCGGGGCATTGGGCCACCGGGTCTTCCTGTCGTGACAGCGTTCGGCCTCGTGTGCATAGAGTCGGCTATCAGGCGTGCCCGTGGGCCTGTGGCTGTTAGCTTTCCTCAGCCCGAGACACGTGTGTGAGCCTGGACCATTATTATCCCCACTGTGCCGAGCACAGAGACGCGGCGGGACTTGCCCGCCGTCACACAGCGGGTGGGGCAGCCTGACTCCAAGGGCCGTGTTTCTAACCACAGCTCACCCTGCCTCTCCACCAGCCCCTGGCGCAACGCGGCGTAGCGTGCTCCTCCGCCTTGTCCCCAGGGGCCAACTCCCTGTACGAAGGGAGAGTACGAAGCACGCGAAGGCTCCGAGCCGGGTTTCTCGACTCTGGCACCGTTGACAGCTGGGGCCAGATGATTCTCCGCTGTGGGACCATCCCGTCCGCTGGGGGATGTTGAGCAGCATCTCTGGCCTCGGCCCCCAGGTGCCTGGAGCATGCCCCCTCCAGTTGCGACCATCAGAAGTGTCTCCAGACATTGCCAAGTGTCCCCGGGGGAGCGCAGTGGTCCTCGGCTGTGAGGCAGTGACCTGGAGCTTACGGAGCGAGCCCGCGCTCAAAGCCAGCCCGCTCGAATCCAGAATGGGCGCGTTGCGTTGTCTCTGGGCTGCTGGGACCGATGGAGGTAGCGGGTTGGGAATGGGGTCTGGACGCCTCCTGAACTTGAGAGGGGCGGGCATTCTCTTGGTGCCCGTTCATTCACTCACGCATGCATGCCTTCGGCAGGCGTCCGAGCTGCCAGCCCACGCTGGGCCCCCAGGGTCCCCAGATGAACAAGCCACCCTCTTCCCTCGCGGCCCTGGATCTCGGAGTGTGGTCCGATCTTCGGGTGGTTTCCAGAGTTGCATGTGGATTTGAACAGTGTGAGAATTTAGGAAAGCCAGAACTTGACCAACAGTCTTGTGGGCGTCAAGTATTTTCTGTTCTTAGAACAGTAAGACACTCTGTCCGCCGAGAAGGGCAGGAGCGTGGGTCAGAGGAGCATCTCTGGAGCCCTGCTGTGCACCCCACCCCGAGCCCTATCCCTTTCCCCTTCCGTCCTGGTGGGCGGCACCTCCTGGCGCGGGCGTGGCGAGTGTGGTCTTCGCCTTTTGTCATTTAATGGGACCGCTCACCCCACCAGTGAGGAAATGGGGGCCTGCAGAGGACAGAGCTTGTCTCAGTGTGACCCCGAGAATGGTGGGGGCCAGGACTGGTAGCCAGGCCACATTCTTCCATCTTGGGGAGCGGGGTCCCACTCTGCCTGCGAGCCCCTGGGCTGAGCCCAGGACTGTAGTGTTGCTCAGGGGCTCCTGTGGGCTGTGGGGGGCTGTTTGCCAGATGACTTCACCTTGTCTCTGCTCCTCAGGACCCTGTGGGGGTCCCCAAGGCCCTGCCTGTCCTGCCCCTGCCACGCGCAGACACACACACCCCCCGCATGCTCACACAGACACACAGGGACGTGCTCACACACATAGTCACATAGACACACAAACACACACAGATGCACACACAGACCCACTCCCACAAGGACACACATTCATGCAGAAACACACGGACACATTTGCACACACACACACACACACATCCATGCACGCGGTCACACACAGAGGTGCACACTCTCACACTCAGCACACTCAAACATGCGCACCCCGGGCAGGTCATGCCGCCGGTCTCTGCACCTGGGGTTCCCCTGGCCTGTTGCACCCCATCATCCTTCAGCGCAGGGGACCCTGGCTGTGGGGGCCCTGGTACGGCCGCCCACACTGGAAGGCCTGGAGGCAGCTGGGCCGTGCCAGGACCCGGAGGCCCAAGTGCTAAGGCAAGGGCCTGGGACCCAGGGGCTGTCAAGCAGGGACGGGCTGGTGTGGGGATGACAGTCAGGGCTCCAGAGCAGGTGGGGGCCCCGGGATGAGGAGCATGCATCACCTGGGGGGGGGGGGTTCGCCAAGAGAGGAAGCCCCGAGGCTACCTGCCTGGGGCCCGGCTCCGACGTGGGCTGACACTCGCAGCAGAACATGGGTGGGGGACTGGGCGGTCTGTGTCTGGGATGCGGCACAGACGGCCACAGGAGGTCCTGACGAGAGTGGGCCAGGAGGGCTTCCTGGAAGGGGCATCCGGGCAGCGGGAACTGCTGGAGGAAGGAGTGGCGGGGGGGGCACATCTCCTTGGGGGTGCACGTTGGTCAGGTCACTTAGGTTCACAGTCTGCTTGACGACAGAGGACAGATGGGGCCCCCCAGACCTGCTGCCTCCCCTCCAGGCAGCCCCTGCCCTGCAGTGCGCTCTTGTTCGAGGACACCCCAGCTGTCCGGGGCTGGCGCCCATCCTCTGGCAGGTGCGGCCTCTGTCAGCATCCAGCCCAGGCTGCATGCAGTCAGCACTCAATGCCCGCGAGCGTGAACTTTGTGATTTGTTTTCTACACGTTCACAGCATTCAGCACACCCAGCCGGACTGTCCCCTCTGTTCCCTCCCGCAGGGCGGCTCTAGGCACTTCTGTGTCGGGAGACCCGGTGGTCCGGGCCCCCACGCCTCCTGGCCCACAGTGACAATGTCCGTGTCCTGCTCTTTCTTTCAGGTTGTGGGGGCTGTGGCACAGAAATAAAAAGTGGCCAGTCCCTGGTGGCTCTGGACAAACACTGGCATCTGGGCTGTTTTAAGTGTGAGACATGCGGGAAGCAACTGGACGCGGAGTACATCAGCAAGTGAGTGGCAGGCTCCTCCCGTGTCCCTCCTGTGGTCACTCCCGTCCTGTCCCCGTGCGGACTCAGGGCCCTGCGGGTTTGTCTCCCCCCCCCCCCCCACCTGGCGGTCTCCTCGCACCAGCCTGGCTTCCTTAGCGTGGTCCGCAGAGACCACAGCTCCATTTCTGTGGATCGAAACAGAGAGTGCTCTTTGCCTTTGCAAATGCTTCCCCTTGCCCGTCCCTGGGGGTCACCCTCCCGTGGTGCCCGGATCACCTGCAGAATGCACGGTGGATGCCGGCTGACTCCAGCAGCAGGAGTGAGGGGAAGAGGGCTGAGTCGCCTCACCTGTCACAGAGGAGATGACTCAGCCCCAGCTCCAACTTCTGCAGCGCTTGGCCATCCCGCTGCTCCCGCAGACGACCCTGTGTCCCCAGACCGCAGACGTGCGGCCAGGATGCAGTGATGGCTGGTCTGGGTGGGGGTCGGAGAGCACATCTCAGAAGGCAGTGCAGACGGAGCCTCTGGAGATCTTAGCCCTGAGCAGGAGCAGCTGGTTTGCCAGGAAGGGGTGCATTTCAGTCCCTGGGATCGGGGACTGCGTCAGGGAAGCCCCCCTACGGCCCAGAGTTAGGGGGTGAGCCGAAATGTGCAGAGCAGGCTGCTTCCTGCAAGTTAGGGAGCTCCAGGGGCAGCTAATGTGGGAGAGCCTGCCGGTTCTTGACGCCGAGGGAGCAGAACGGTCCCAGGAACTGCACACAGTCACACACACATGCATGCATACACGCCCACGCACGTGTGCACGCTCATACACATGGACACACTCGTACATTCATACACTCACACGCGCATGCACACACACACGCATGCATGAGTACCTGTCACACCCAAGGCATCCAGACCAGGTTGCCGCTGTGCCCCGTCCATCTCCTGGCTGCTCTCGTACCTTCCCTGTGCACGAGGCCACTCGTGGGGGAAACGGGGTGACGGGAGTGGGGGTCTCTGTCTGGTGTCCTACAACCCCGTGTGAGTCCATACTCATCTCAAAACAAAACGTTTTCAGTTAAAGCCCCCAAGCCCAGACGAGCCTCTGTCCAGGCTGGATCAGGCAGGGGAAGGTACTGGCCACTCCTCTGTCATAGTAAAGGGAAGGGGAGAGTGACTCCCTTGAAGGCAGGCCCAGGAGACAGAGCACTTTAAAATGAAATAAACTAAAACGTGCCCAGCCCCCAGGGTGCTTCCTGCCATGGTAGCTCACCCACACGGCTCGCCTGTCACTCAGCAGCCTCCAGAACGGTCGCAGAAGTGACAGGGAGGGTGCGTTGGTGTTGCCATAGAGACGTAGTCGTTGAGTCTCCGGGGTTCGGGGCACAGACACCCATGGTGGGAATAACAGGGGCCCTGAGGTCAGTGGCGTTTGAAAGTAGACCTTGAGGTCTCAATTTATCTCTTCCTCTCCGGGAAGGAAGGGCTTCATCCTCTCTGGGGCTGTGGTCAGAGACACACCCTGCAGCCACGGCAACCCCAGGGGCTCATAACCCCCCGCTGCCCTTCCCGTCCTGCAGGCCACCTCCTCCAGGAAGCCTTCCAGGACGTCCTACGTCCTACAGAAGGTCCAGAGGGCGGCATTAGCCCTGGTCTTGCAAAAGTCGAGAACTCTTACCTTCTGTTGGCAGCTGCATAAAAATCAAAACCCAACCGGGAGTAACGGGGCAACTTCCGCAGTGCGGGGGAGGGGAGATGTGTGCGGGGGAAGCGGGCGCCCCTGCCTGCCAGTGGCCTCCACACCCGGGGGGCGGCCTGGTTAGCAATGACAATGGCCTCGGCCACCAATTGGCAAGGGCCTGCCGTGTGCTAGGCCACACCTTCTCATCTTTAGACCTTACTGTAATTTCTCCCATTTTATGGCTGGGGAAGCCGAGGCTCAGAGAGGTTATGCGACTTGCCCGGGGGCACACAGCGGGGGCGTGGTGGCATGTGAGCGCTAGCCTGCTCACTTTGCCGCTGCCCACCGGCTCCTCCCCACACGGAGCACGGCCACCAACCCAGGAGCCTTGGCACCTCCTCCGGGCCGTCCCCCTGCCATGTCCTATTGTAATAACAATTGCGGTCACTTTCGAATCAGCTCCCGCCACGGGCCGGGTGCTGTGCCTGGCCGTGTGCCCATACTGTCCTCCCGTCCGCAACCCCGAAAACCAGCTGCCCCCCTCACCGCGCATCCAGGGGAGGCTCAGTGTTGAAGCGACTCGCCCCGGGCTGCCCAGAGCCTCAGAGCGGCACCCGAAACCGTGTGTCGCTCGTCACTGCTTCCCCATGCCACAAACGTGGTGCGCACGCTGTAAATATGCGTGCAGAGTGGACACGTCCCCCGCGGCCCTCCTGACCCCTCCCGCGAGGCCGGATGCCTCTGCAGCCACGCCCGGGGACGGAGCGGCGCAGTCCCCACCCACCATGATTTGTAGGGCGCCCCAGACCCCTTTGGGGGGAGTCTATTTCCTCAGCACCCCCTGGTGAGTAAATAAGCTATTTCCCATCCACACGCCCCACGTGGGACAGAACGAACCGGAAGGAAGAGCCACGTCGTCAGTGGAAACATCTTCGGTTTCCCAGATGCAGCCCTATTCCCGCCGGTGAGCCTGGGAGGTGGCCACCAGCCCTCGCTCAGCCGCTGGGCCCCCAGGGGAACCCCGTGCGCGTCCTGACGGCCTGTCTCGTTGCAGGGACGGGCTGCCCTACTGCGAGGCCGACTACCACACCAAGTTCGGCATCCGCTGTGACGGCTGTGAGAAGTACATCACGGGGCACGTGCTGGAGGTGAGTGGGCCGCTGGGCGCCCTCTGGGCCAGGTCCTGCTCCCGGGCCTCTGGGGGTGTCTGACGTTCGTGTGCGTTTGTGCAAGAAGGAGCGCCCCTGAGTCTTTGCCTCCCCCTTCCTCCCAGTTCTGCCGGGGGACAGCTTCCTCAGCCTTCCAGGACCTGCTCGGTGAGGACCACCTCCTCCAGGAAGCCTTCCCTGGACACTGTCTCTCCCGCACCCTCTATAAGCTGATAGAGTTGGAGAGATGGGGGGTTGAAATCCTGGGTCCAGCCCTCCCATGTCTAGATGGAGGTCTGAGGCCTGGAGGAGTGAAAGTGAGCCCAGGAGGCAGGACCATGTGCCCAAAGGAGGCCCAGGGTGGTCGCCTGGCATGCCCAGTCACACAGCAGTCATGGGGTAGGCGGGCTTTCTGGGGGGTGGGAGTTTCATGGCTCTGTCTCTATGAAAAGCACATGTAGCATGCACTTTGGTACAGTTGTTCAGTAAGATAAACGCCATGGGATGACCACACCCCACCCACCGGGTTGTCAGACCCCGTCCATTCCTCTCCCCATTCTTCAGCCCCTCCTTGGCTCTGTGCTGGGGCCTGCCCATGTCCCCGGGAAGGCACAGGTGACAGAGGACCTCAGGGAATGGAGAGGGGGCCCTGACCCTGCTAAGGGACTTGGGAGCCTTTCCCACCAGGTCACAGAGGGGCCTCTGGGTTTGGGAGGGTAGGTTGGGGGATGAGGCTTTCGGGCCCCCACCTGGCGGTGATGCTGACAAAGACTTCTGAGCCAGGGAATGCCTGGGTCATATCGGCATTTTAAAGAGTGTGGGGCTGCCGCCGAGGCTGGAGGCTGGTGCTGGTGGCCAGAGGCTGGAGGCTGGGGACAGTGGGATGCGTGGCGGTGCCCTTCAGATCCCCAAGGATTCCTGCCCTGCCTGCGCTCACACCTAGTGCCTGGCACAGAATCGGCGTCCCCGGTGCCGCGGCGGAATTGTACATCGAGCGCTGGGTTGCTTTTCTCGAAATTACACTTGCTGTCCCTCCGAGCAGCAGGGACAGAGTTGCTCCAGGGCCTCAGCACCACCCACTTTCCCTCTTAGGGCTCTTTTGCCCCTCCACCCCAGGAGTGCGAAGGGGAGGGGGGTGTCACACCCCCCCCGGGGCAGGGCCGTCTCTCCCCTCATTCCCAGGGTGGGAACCCCCCGCCAGGCCAGCGCCCAGTGGGAGGGCCCAGGCTCGCAGAGGGGCCTGAGGGTGGGTGTGACTACACACTTATGGTCTGTGGAGGTTGTACAGAGCACAAATCGGAGGCGGGGGAGATCACAGATAATGCGATCATAGGTAGCTGAACTCTTTGGCTGGTTTCCTTCCAGTTTTTTCTGTCTCCATGTAATTCCAGTTGAGACCAAACCGTTGGTACAACATTATATTCTGAGTTTGTCCAGTTCGCATTTCCTAGTTAGCAGGTTCCCCTGTTTTTGTTTTTTCGTGTGTTTTGGGTACATTAGGCCTTTTTGTTAAGCAGCTGTATTGGAACATAGCTCATATAGCTGCAGAGTGTGGGGCCCCCGCCCCCCATGGGGAGTGTAGTCTTTATGAAATCCGTGCTGGTCTGCAGCTGAGAACGTGGGTCCTCACTCGCTTCCGTGACTTCCTTCTGTCCCTTGATGCCGGTCCCTATGATGGTTGAATGGACCCCAGCGCCTTCATTAGCTACTTCCCACATGCTGCCTGCTTACATGGGGCTGGGGTCTTCATGGTCGTCAGCTCCATCTGCGCTTATGGTCACACGACAAAGTTAGTCTGCGGGCGTCTTGTATGTATCGTCTATGTGACGTAATATTGATACCCACATCCTCTGAATATGTGGACGCAGACTATGACCCTCTTCCAGGACGCCATGGCGCTATAAATGTTAGGGACAGGGACCCGCCTGCCCCACTGCCAGTGGTTCAAACCACGTGTCTCTGTTCCCCGTCCAGACCTTCTACTCTCTCCTGGGCTCCCACACACGTGTGCTGGGCCATCGGCCACCCCGAGCAGGTGGCAGAACCAGACTTGAAGCTGGGCTCCCCGGGCTCCTGGCTCCTGTTCCTTCCCCACCGTGCAGCCTCTCCCCGGGTGTAGACGCCGGTTTGCGTGTTGTTTTAGCACTGTGCCGCATGTGATGGCCAAAAGTGGGGTGCATCTGAGGCTCAGGTGGGCTGAGCTGTTGTTGCAGATGTGTGGACCTAGCCTGACCTGCTTCCTGGCACCCTCCGGCATCGGCCCCTGCACCCGGGGGGCGGGGTGGAGACCTGACCCCAACCTTGCTGCCTGCCCTCAGCAAGCTCTGTGCTGAGCAAGAGAACATTCCAGTACCTCAGGGATTGAATGAGACATGGTCTGTGAAGTGTCCCCCAGCTCAGTGCTGGCCCCGTGGTAAACACTGGGGGTTAGGGGCTTCCTTATTGTCACCAGGTAATCAGCGGGCCTCCCCTGGATGGGTGACCCCATGTGCACTGTGTGTCCTTGAAATTTAATGCTGGGCCAAATATAGAATGTGGGGGTTCGGTGACTGCAAAGGGAGCACCTCCAGTGCACTCCGGTTTATCATCAGGAAGGGACCGTCTTAGTTACGAAGAACAGGAGAAAAACAGGTCTGGATTTTCCTCCTTGTCAGTGGTGGGGGATAAAGGCCTCCCAGGGAAGATTAATGCTTTTGTTTTCGCGAGTTCCCTGGCGTGGCTGAGTCGGCGGCGGGCTCTGCAAAGCTCTGAGCATCCTCCTTTGCCAGGCGGCAGCTGCAGGCGGGCAGAGACGAGCCCGATTCCGCAGGCGGGGAGCCGCCGCCCCCCCCTTGCCACCACCTGAACTTGGCCCCGGGCGTGCTGGCGCCCCGCTGGGCGGGCAGGGGGCTCTCAGGGGCAGTAGGTGGCAGGATCTGAAAAAGAAGGAACAGGATCCAGACCTCTGGCTGAAGGCTGAGCGTGCCCGTCCTCACAGTCACATTGCCCGTTCCAGCCGACCTGCCTGGGGAGCAGGCACTGGAGAGGGGCTGTGGGGGCTGGCCGATCGGACTGGGCTCTGTTGCGAGGACCCCGTGCAGGTAGGAGGCCTCTCCAGGCGCTTCGGAGGGCTGATGGGGAGGCTGCAGGAGCCATGCGGGGTTGCAGGTGGGTGGGCTTGCAGGGAGCTGGGACAGATCGGCCAGGTGAGACTCCCTGGGGCACCTGTCACCCCCCCCCGCTTTGTCCCCACCAGATGCCTGTCCCACTCCGAGCTTTCCTGTCCTCAGAGCCCGAGCAGGAGAGCAGCCCAGGCCCCCTTCCCCAACAGCAGGAGCCAGCAATCTGTGCTGCGTCTGTGTGCGGTGGGCACAGTGCCATCTTGCTGCTGGGCTCCAGCAGCGCCTGCACGTCCCCCTGTGAAATGTGCATCCCGGGGCGACGGTGGGGCCTTTCCTCCCCCTTCCTTAGTTATTCCTAAATATGTAGCATCGTCTTCCCGGTGTCTTCCCCGATCCTGCGTGTCTCGGGGTGTCTGTCTCGGGGAGGCTGCTCCATGCTGGGGAGCAGATGAAGGAGCCTCATGGGTCTGGGGGGGACGTGGGAGGGGCTGTCTGCCCCCACCCTATTGCTGAGATGGATGGAAGGCTGGGGGTGTGGGGAGGGCTGGGGTGTGGGGGCAGAGGTGGGGGGCCTGGGGCGGTCCTCTGCATGGCTGGAGTCCCCCACGGAGAGAGCTAAGAGGTGGCTACGGGACTGTCTGCCCGGGACAGCGGTGTAACCAGACCAACTAGACCCAGAGTTCCATAAGGGGGGGCTGAGTGAGGGGGGCGAGGGGAGTCCTGGCTCAGTCCTCGCCCCCGCCCCACCCCTGCCTTGTTCTCTGCTGGCTGGAGTGCTTCCCTGCACAGGTGGGAGTTGCGGGGGCGGGGATGGGCCCTGCCCTCCTTAACCCTTGCGGTGCTGGTGCTGCTGTCTGAGCCCCACCTGCATGGTGCAGTCCGCCTGTCTCCATGGTAACGAGAAGCCCAGGGTCCCTCTGGGACCACTAATTAATTCCTCCTTCCCTCTCTCCCTCCCCCTGCCCGCCTTCCCTTCTCTCTTCCTTAACCCACCACTCACCTACAGACCCTCCGAACACTCCCTGTGTCCCCTGTCCCAGGCTGGTGGCGGCTGGGCTGCCAGCCTGCACTGCGCCCCCCCCACCGCCCAGGAGCCCTGGTGGGAGGGGGGCCCGCAGGCAGCTCCCACCCTGGGTCAGGCAGCCCCTAAACATTTCTCCATTTCAAATAAACCATCCCCTGGGGCTACAGGACATCCGTTACTTGCTTTCCCCATCTTCCTTTGGCATGCTCCATTTTACCCTCCTAAGCAGGTATGACTTTTATCAATGGGAGAAAATAGTTCCAAAGAAATAAAACCATTTCCTCAGGACGGAAACCAAGTCAGCTTCCCAAGGCCCCACTTCTCCCTCTCTTTTTGTAATTTGATGAATGTGTTTACTTAAAAAAACATTCAGAAGCAATACCTGTTTATCATAAAATAAACGGAAAAATCATCCGTAATAAACACCACCACCCAGACTAACTACTGTTAGCACTTAGAAATCAGAGACCCCGAGCCGAGAGGGAACACGTGGGGTCAGCGATGGGGGGACAGTGACAGGGGTGAGGTCAGGGGCTCTGGGGAGGGGGCTGCCGATCGCACAGGGCTTCGCCCTCAGGGCCCTGCATGGTGAGGAGCTGGGCTCTTCTCCCGGGGGGACGTAGCTCCTGGGGGGTCGTAGGTCACGGAGCCGGTCCGGGAAGTCTGCGCGGCTGACAGACACTCTGCTGAAGGTTTTCATTAGCTTCACGGTACGTTTCATCATCTCGGCGCATGCTGGTGATGAGGTCTTTTCGACCTGGAGTCCGTTCTGGCCGCTCAACAAGGACACTGGAGCTGTGCCTCAGGCCGGTGGAGGCCCGGGAGTGGCATGGGCGGCCCTCCGCAGCCTGGCGGCCAGGGGAGCACGCAGAGGGCCACGGGGGCGCAGCCTGGTGTCCAGGGAGCAGAAGGGGCCAGGGGTGAGGGGACGCCTGCCTCCCATGTGCGGGGCCTATCCCTCTGTGCTGCCCACGGCCGGGTGCGGGGCGGGAGCTTCTGGAGCCCAGAGACCCTGCCCGAGTCCCCGGGGCTGGCCACGCCCTGCGTGTCGGTGGTGGGACGTGCTCCAGTCCCCCGCGCTGACTTGGTCCTGAGTAAGGAGCTGCGCTTGTTCTAGGCCCCTGGAGCCCACCTTCCTGCGTTCCTCACGAGCCTTGTTCTGTCTTATTCAAGATGACAGCCACTTGCCGGAGGCACACACGTCACTTTAAAACCACGCACTGCAGAAGCTCATGAGCTTTTAATATTCTTCAGAAATCCGAGCCATCTTGAGACCCACCTGGCGCAGGGCTGGGCCATCTGCCCGGCTGGGGGCTGGGTGGTTGCACAGACCACACCCCAGGTGCTGACGCTCCCGGCCCGTAGTGCCCAGGAATGGGGAGGAGAGGCTCTGAAAGGGCAGGGGCTGCAGCAGCCTCAGGATGACGTGGAACATCCGGTCACCGTGGCCACGGGGGAGAGGACAGGAGATACCGTGGGGCCCGATACAAGGAGCGAGGGCGCTTTGACTTTGGACTCTATGGCGGGTCTTAGTCCACCGGAGCTGCTGCAGCCATTCTGGGCCCTGGGTGCTGAAACCCCAGGCAGCGTTCCTGTCCGTGCTGGGGGCAGCAAGTCTGCCGTCCTTCGGTTCCTGGGGAGGGCCCGCTGCCCGCACTGCAGACGGCCACCTTCTCCCTGTGCCCTCACATGGTGGAGACAGAACTCGGGTGTCCTGTCTTACAGGACACCGACGTCCTCATAGGACATCTCGGGGCCGCACGTGTCAGGACTCCAGTCCTTTCTAAGGCTGAAGGATATTCCACTGTGTGGCTGGACCACAGTTTGTTTACCTGCTTGCCCCCCCGGGGCCATTTGGGGCTGTTTGCACCCTGGAGCCGCTGTGAAAATGGCCACCGTGGACACTCGCGTCCAAGTTGTGCAGACCTGTGTTTTTGCTGTGCTCTCGCCTCCATTCTGTTCCAACCCAGGAGTGGAACCACCGGGTCCAGTGGTAACTCTGCGTCTCTTTTTGAGGCGCCGGCAGCCACACGCACATTCCCCCCAGCAGGTGCACAGGGGCCCCGCTCTCCCCACATCCTCGCTGACACGCACTGTCCCTTGGGTCTCACTTCGATTACGGCCACCCTAATGGGCATGGAGTGGCGTCTCGTGGCAGTTTGAACTTACCCTTCCTCTGTGACGGTGACATCCAGCATCTGGCATGTGCTCCTCGGCCACTTGTGTGTCTTCTTTGGAAAAATGTCTATTCGAGTTCTTTGCCCACTTTCTAAGTGGACTGTTTGTCCCTTTGTCATTGAGCTGTAAGAATTCTTTATATGTTCCAGATGTTAAGCCGGGTCCTCCCATTCCACAGGCTATCTTTCCACTTTCTCGACCATGTCCTCAGATGCACAGTAGTTTGATATTTGTGAGAAAAAACATACCTATTTTTGTTATTGCTATTCATGCTTTTGGTGTCCAATCCAAGAAGGTACTGCCAAACCTGGGGCGAAGATGCACCCCTGTTTTCTCCTAAGAGATTTGTAGTTTTAGCTCTTAATTTCAGTCATCAGTCCACCTTGTGGGTCTTGCTGACGTGTCACACACACAGAATCCTACACGAATCCTACAGCTTGATCGGTGTCCATAAACCGGACACATCTGTGTAACAAGCACCCTGATCAAGAAGGAGAACGTGCCCAGCCCCCAGGAACCCCAGGGCGGCCACCTCCCTGACTCTAATAAAGGAGACTCATCGGCCTGGTTCTGCACTTCGTGTGAATGTAATCCGTGCTCTCCAGTGTCTGCCTCTTTCCTCCCTCCTGGGTGTCTCAGGGTTTCCCTGTGGACTGTCCAGGGCGGGGACTGGGGAGCAGGTGACGCTGGGGTCAGCACCCGAGAGCTGGGACCGCCAGGCTGGGGGCTGGGAGGCCACCAAGGGCCACGCTCCTGGGCTCCAGTCCTGCTCCACCAACTCTGTGCTGTGTGACCTTTCTCAGCTCCCTCCACCGTTCTGTGCACCATGTGGAAAATGAGGATAATAATGTAGCTCATAGGGCTTCTGGAGAGTGAAGACAAGGTAGCGTGTGAAAGGGCCTCGGCTCGAGCTATGGAAACAGTGGTGGAGTTGCTGTTATTTTGGGGGTTGGGGACGTTTGCCAGGTCTGGGTGGGAGTGCGTCCCCGAAGGCCGAAGACTGTGTATGCAGGGCCAGCCCCTCACAGCGGCCCGGGGCTGCCTCTCCGCCCTGTGTTAATTCTCATCCGTGCCGTTGGGGTTTCAAGCCTGTCGTCTTAGAAACCGTCCCCACGGTTTTCTCTCTCCTCCTACTCAGGTGTAGATGCCCTGTGTAGACACCAGGGTCTGTCTCCTTCAGTGGGTGTTGCAGAACTCCTGCTGTTTGAGATCATGGGGGTTGTCCCCCACCAGTGGGAAGGGGGCCTGGGTGACACGGGCACGAGGACAGGTCGGAGGTCACAATGTTTAAAATCACCAAAATGACCGCTTCGCCCTCATTCTGCCTGGGCCCGCGCTGCCCTGTGACCCTCTCCTCGGAGAGGACCCGCCAACTAGCGGTTCCTGAAGTGGCCCTGGGTAGACGTGGCCCCCGAGGGGCTCCCTGTCTAGTGGGGAAGAAGAAACCCGCAGGAGCCCAGACCAGGGATGTGTGCGGGGGAGGCTTTCAGGAGGAGGCGGCATTTGAGCTGCGATAAAGAACAGGGAGGGCCCGGGCAGGTGGAGCGGGGGAGGGTGCTCCCAGCGGAGGGATCGGGAGGAGGCTCCAGAGCAGGCGGGAGGACGATGGATGCAGCATCCCCGCGCTCCCCGGGAAGAATCCCTTCGCCCGGATGCATCGGTGGGCCGTGCCACGGGGCACATCACGCGGGAGAGGAGCGTGTTCTGGATTCCTCCTCCCTGCCACAGGGGTCACCTTGGGGCAGGGGTTCTCCGACGGCTCGGTGGTGAGGGAGGAGAGTGAGATGTGGGTGTGCATTTGAGCCCCTCACGTGCTCATCCGCGGAAGTGCTGTTACTAACTCACATTCAGGAAGGGGTCATCGGACCTTCCCACGTCAGGGAAGACTGAAACATGGCGTTAGCACCACGGCTGCCAGCCGGCTGCCGCCCGCCTTACCCCAACGCTAACAATATTACCGTGGAGGGGTGCCGAGTATGATAGTTTGGGGCGATTCTTCTGTGCCGTCCAGAACTACGCCACGCCAGCCAGTGTGATTAGTTGACGTTATGTCTGTATTAATCTTTGCATTTAATTTAATGGATGCTAAGGATTATAAAAACAGTAAATGCTAATTGAGAAATCTGAGCAATAGGGAGATGCGTAAGACAGCCCACACCTCCGGTGCCTCCACCTGGAGAGTCACATTAGCTTCGGCCTCCCCTCTGCCCTCTCCCGCTGCGCCCCCCAACTCCGGTACAGAGACGGACAGGACCTGGCCCCCCTGCCCCACGAGGGAGGCAGATCCATCAACCACCGAGCTGGAGGAGCTGGGTGACACCCCTGCTCGCCTGGAGGTCGGGTGGTGCCGCTGGGTCTCTGCTCCCAGATGTGGCCCCTGGCGCGCGTGGCCCCAGTGCACGTGGCCTGCTTCCGCACCCAGTGCCCTGGACAGCCCGGGAGCACCCAGCGGACCCAGGCTCTCTCAGGTGCCGTCCTGGGACCCCGATGGATATGGGACATAGCACACACACAGCATCCTCTGAGGACCCCTCATGTGGGCACACTGTCCCCCCAGCCAAGTGTGGCTGCTTCTGTGGCCCCTTTAGCTTCGGTAGAAACACCTCTGTTTCGCTGTCTTTACAGGCAGGAGAAAAACACTACCACCCACTCTGTGCACTATGCGTCCGGTGCGGCCGGATGTTTGAGGAAGGCGAGGAGATGTACCTTCAAGGTAAGGACAAAACCGCGTTGCCCCGTCCCCTAGAGCAAGACAGGAACATGCCCTGGGCCCGTGTCCCGTGCTGGGTGGGAACTGGTGTCACCTCTATAGCTGGGAAGCCCCCCACCCAGCCCAGTGGCAACGTGTGGGAGGCAGAGAAATGGGACACGGTGACGGCCCGGGGCTGCTCGGCCCCTCCCCAGGACGATGGGTTGGGTCTGGAGACCCCATCTCTGCAGCCACTGTTTCTATTCAATGATCCGTCTGTGTCCAGCGACCCCGGAGGCAGGCCGAGCAAGGCTGGATGGATGGGAGAGCCACACACAGGCTGTTTCATGACCTCATGGGGCTGTCGTCTTGGGGCTGTGTGTCACACAGGCCTGCCTTTCTGAGCCCAGCCTCGTGGGGTGACGTCGCTAGGCTGGCCTCGTCCCCGGTGTCCCCTCTTGTTCCTTGAGTCTCTGCTTGAGAGCCCATGAAAGGGGTCCTTTGCGCCCCTCCCACTGCTGCTGGGACGTCTGGGTGGGAGGGGGCCCCCTCCAGCATCGCCCCCACTGTAAATAGTGCTTTCAGGCCTTTCTGATGCCCAGCACAATGGGCTGGGACCGCAGCATGGGGACAGGAGCTCACCATCAAGAGGGACCCAGTCTCAGGGAATAAAGGCGCTCTTCATGGCTCTGGGCTGTGGCAGGCACCCCGTTTCTAAAGCGAGTCCTGCCATGACTTTCTGTGGGATATGGAAGCCAGTCCCATCCCCTCTCCCAGCCTCAGATTTCCCAGTCGGTGTGACAAGGGGTGGACCCGGGTTGGAGCACCGGCCAGGGCCTCTTTGGGGGGGGTCTGGCCCCCGCCCAGCCTGGACACCCTGAAACCCTCTGCCTGGTCCACCTGGATGTTGGGGCTCCAGGAAGGTGCTGACAGGTGAATCCCGTACAGTTGAAGCTCTGAAAAGCAGGGGTCCCAGTGAGCCTCTCAGCCTTCGAGGAGGACGGGGCAGCCCACCCCCTCTCTGCTACCACCAGCACCACCTACCGTGGGGCAGACCTTTCCAGTAAATACAGGGGAGGAGCTGTTGATGCTCAGTAGTGATCAGGGAGACCCAGATGAGAAGAATAATTAGATACTACGTTCCCCCACTGGGTTGACAAGGACTGAAAGGAAGGTCGCGTCCCCATTGTGAGGAATCAAGGAAATGGGCCTCTTACCTGGCTGGTGTGGCCAAAACCGGGAAATCGTCAGAATCCATCAAGAGCCTTAATGTCCACACGACTCCATTTCTAGGAAGTCCTTAGGTGAATGACAGGGGTGTGCTGGGACTGGCGTGCCATGGAAGCCCCCCCAACAACGTGACTTTAGAAATAAAACACTGCAACCAGCGGGCGAGGGACGGAAAAATCCTCCTCTCTCCATGTGGGATGTTGCACGGCCCTCGTGGTTATGCTTCTGATATTTAATTACATGGGGAAACGTTCTAGACGCTTTAAACAAAAATCGTAGGACATAAGACTATGTACAACATTATCCGCATTCTCTGAAAAACGCACGGGAACGCTAAAAAGCTGCCCGAGCAGAGTGGCTCAGAGGTTATAGGCGGTTTTCATTTTCTTATTTATACTTTGTTGGGTGTCTTTAATTTTTAATAAGGAATATCAGTGACTTACCTATTACTTTGGTAGTCATCGTTGTCAAAAATGAATGTTTTACACACACACACACCCTCAATCGTGGTCTCCCCAGGAGCTCCAGGCTGATGCAGACGCTTTGCCAGAGCGAGGCAGTAATAACCTGCCCTCCTGGCCATTAGTTCATGTGACCTGGAAGCCTTTGCAAGCCAGAAATAGGACGTCGCTCTTTCCTTCACACACACTTTTAAGTGCCTCTCATGCGCCAGGCCCTGTGTGGCTTGTTGGGCGGCGGGGAGGGGCACGGAACAGACACAGCCCCCTCCCTGATGGGGTGTGAACCTAGACACAGAGCTGCGGCGGCCAAGGGGGCGAGGGGGCCGGGCTGAGATCCAGGGAGGCCCCGGAGGGAGAGCAGGTGCTCCGGGCCCTGAAAGATGGGGCGCAGGGAGGGCTGACACGCGCCAAACCCACCCGCACTGGACATATGGCAGTAATGCAGCGAACGCCCTAGGCTACAGCTCACCAGGCACCGTTCCGGTGTGTTATTACCCCAGATTAACCTCATCGGACTCTCCCACTGGCCTGATGAGCGAGGAACGTTATCAGCCCTGTTTGCGGACGGGGAGAATCTGACACCTGGAGAGCCCGAGTTCGAATGAGGAAAGGGCGGGGCCCGTGGGGCCCGTGGTGCTCTTGTTACCTTGATGGTGCTAGATGTTGGCGTGGGTGGTGGGGCCACACTGGCTGCTGAAGAAACTGAGGCAGGATCGGTCTCAGGACCCAGGGAGTCAGTGAGAGAGTCAGGCTCGCCCTGCTCTTCACCCCACACCCCGGCTCCCACCTGAGGATCCCCCTCCTGCCTCCCGGCCGAGAGCTCTTGCCCCCCAGCCTCATTCCCATTCCCGAGGCTGGTTCCCACCCCAGCTCTGGCCCCAGCCCCAGCCGTGCCCGTGGTTGGGCCGGGCTGCTACCCCTGCACCCATGGGCAGCCCGTCCTCTCTCCCCCGCCTCTGAACAAGAAGCCACCTGACACCCCTCTTCCGAGAAGCCTCCTCTGGGCACCCCGGGTGTCCCCAGTGCTCACAGTGGTGCGCTTCCCGTTCATTGTACACCCCCGGCCCCCCAAACTGGGCCATGAGCCCCTGGGGCCGGGCGGCCATCTGCTTGCCCCAGGCCCAGCACCCCCTCCAGCAGAGCGTCCGCGTGTGGACTACCAGCTCCCCGCTTCTGACTCCCTGCGCAGCGTCTGCATTGTGGGAAGTAACACTGAGCCCTCCCTCTTGGGGATCTGTCCGCAGGTTCCTCCATCTGGCACCCGGCGTGCCGACAAGCAGCCAGAACTGAAGACAAAAACAAGGTTGGTGGAATTGACTGCTTGCTCCGGTGTGTTCTTCGGCGCCCATGTGCCGTCACCTGCGTCTGATGGCTCACCGGCTGGTCACACCAGGCCACGGGCCAGGTGTCATGAGGCCTGGGGGTGCTGAGGATGGTGCGAGGTGGGGCGGGGCATCTTGGGGCCTCCCTGTCCTGGCCCGCAGGCCTCTCCATGGGTCCAGAGGGCATGAGGGCTGCAAAAGTTTGGGGACAGCTATGACATGAGCGGGTCTCCAAATAGTCCCCAGACCGTCCACACTTGGGACACCAACTGCAAGGCTGAGGGGCCCCAAATTGTGATCAGTCTCAGTCATTCATGGGAAGGACTCACAGACGCCCTGAAAACTGATAGTCACGGTTGGGGTTTATTACAGGAGAGGATACACGTGGAGTGAGCCGAAGACAGAGGCGCGTGGTGCAGGGTCTGGGAGGGGGGCAGACACAGAGCTTCTCCTCTGCCCTGGAGACTGGACGGGGGACCTGCCAGCCTGTGTAGGACCGCATGCCCGGAGTATTGCCCAGCAGGGGGGCTCTGTGTCCAGAGATCTTACTGGGGCTCCATTGACTGACTGACTGACTAACTGACATAGTGATTTCACTAGGTCCAGGTGGCATGACCCTAGACCACCCCAGATCACACGGTTGGTCTCTCCAGTGTGGCCGGGCCCCATCCTAAGACTGTTGGGTGTGGTTCACCCCCTCCCTGAACGGACACTCTGACAGTGGACACAGATCACCTTCCAGGGTCAAGGGTGCAGGCCGGACCTCTCTCTGGGCGAGACCAAATTCTCTACCTCTCAGAGGCCCAGCTGGGCGCCAGGCACAGGTGAGGAAGGAGGTGGGCACGGACCTTGTTCTCTCGGGACTGACGTTCCAGGGAGTGACAGAAATTGACCCTTACACACGCAAATTTGCAGCAAAGGCTGTTGGTGGGGGACCGAGGACGCCAGTGGACGGGAGGAGGGGAGGCCAGACGCACAGTCAGGAAAGGCCTCCGGAGGAAATGGGGTCAGAGCTAAGTCTGCAGGCTGAGACTTGGTGGTCCTGGAGGCAGGGCCCTGGGCAGGGTGGACAGACCCCTCACCCTTAGCTCTACAGCGTGGACACAGCCCTATCAGCAAGCCCAAGCTGGTCCCATCCCCAGAACTTGCAGGTTTGGGGAATTTCTCGTGGGGCTGGAGGGAGACCCCACAGACTTGGGCCTCTGAGCTTCACAGGGGTGTTGGCTGGTGGAGGAGACACTCCCCACACCGGCCCCCGCAGATGGGTGGGCCCCAACCCAGTGCGGCAAATTCTCGATAGGCCTGCGCTGAAGGAAGCCAGCAGAGGGACAATCCCCCATTTCCCTTAGAAATGGCTTCCGGTGGGTTTGGAAGCCCCCGCTTCCCACGCATCTCTCACGGCTCACCCTCAGTCATTCAGCACAACTTCACCAAGCCTCTGGCTGTGCCAGGCCCTGCTCTTGGCCCAGGACACAGAGGTGATGGAGTCCTGCCCCCACATGCTCTGGGCATGCGGGGGCACACGTGCACATCATGTCTGATGGCCACGGGGACCCGAGCACAGGGGGGCCCTGGGCCGGGGTAGGAGGGCTCCGTGGAGAAGAGGCACCTCCTCTGTGTCCCCCAGGCCACCCCTCACCCGCGACAGCCTCACGCTGTTGCTCAACCCCTTTCTGTGGACGCCAGGCTGGGCCCGAAGGTGGGGACTGCGCCCTGGGCTCCTCTCTAGGGCCGGCCCTGCCCTTCATCTGTGACCTTGTTTCTCAAGTGGTGCCGGTTGCTTTGCTCAGAGTCCTCAAGTGTCTACAAAGGCCTCTGGTTTAATCCAGTTCAGAGGGTCCCCTTTGACGCCCGCAGAGAGGAGGCGCGCTCGGCCTGGAGAGCCCCTGTGTTAGCCCTGGTGGACACAGACCGCCAGCTGGATGCTGCTCAAGCCGCGGGCCTGGGGGTGCAGACAGGGAGGGGCCCTGAGGGTTAGAGGCCCAGGGGTCCAGCCCCGGCCTACAGGGAGTGGCAGGAGCTGCAGTGCAGGGGCAAGGCATCCTAAGGCAGGTCTGTGGCCCCTGCACCCTGGGTTAGGCCACACCTGTGTCTGCTCCTCCGTCACCCGAGTGTCCTCACAGACTGTGCAGAAGGAAGCAAGGGGCACAGGAAGCCCCACAGCCTGGGAATGGACCTCGGGAGGATCCAGTGGCCAGGCCCACTGCTCCCCAGGCACACAGATGATGCCTGCCACTAGTTTGGCTGAATTCGCAGAACTGTAGCCCAAATTCTAGAACACTGGGACTGGGGCCGGGAGCGCCTGCCCCGCCGTCCCCCTGCCCCTGCTCCTCCATCTCTGGGACCACCGTTGCCGCCACTTGCCTGGGCCCCGGGGCCCCCCACTGCCAGGGGGCCCAGGGCGCTCGCACTGAGCATGTGCAGGATGAACCCCATCCCAGGCCCAGCACTGGGCAGGGGGAGCTGTGTGAACGTGAGGTTGGGGGGCAGATCCATGTGACAGCCAACCTCCCAGCTCCAGGGACGCAGAGCGTGGAGACTACGGGAGGAAACTGTTGATTGTATTTGTCCCTGGGGCTGCTGTGACGAATGACCACACATTTAGTGGCTTAAAGAACCACAGACATCTCCCTTCCTTCTGGAGGCCAGAAGTCGAGGATGGGGGCGCAGGGCTGTGCTCGCTCTGGAGGCTCCAGGGAGAGCCTTCTCCCCCTCCGTTCCCGGGTCCGGAGGCCGCGCGGTCTGCTCCTGACCCCGCCTCTGTCACCACCTGTGCCCTGACCCCCTCCCCCGTGCCCTCCTCACCTGAGATCCCAGGGAGTCCACCCACGGCACCGGGAGTGGCCTACCACCCCAGGCTCCTTAGTCGCATCAGGCTGGGAGTCCCTGTGGTCACACGTGGTAGGTAATACGTTCGCAGGCGTGGGCATGCTCGTGTGCTCATGGAGGGCAGGAAAGGCCCAGTTGGTCATGTACACGACTCGGGTCACGGTAAGTGGCAGGGGCGCCCTGGTCTCCCGTGGCTGACACAGCTCCCGATCCCCTCTGTAACCGCCCCTGGGCTACTCCAGGCCTCAGAGATGAGCCAGGCAGCATCCCTGACCTAGAAGTGACCGCAGGGTCCTGACCTTTGTCGGTGGACCCCTCCCCAAATCCCAACCCGAAGGCCTGCCAGAGGGACCTGGAGGGAGCCCACGTGCTGAGAAGCCTCCAGACCCGTCCCCTGAGAGTGACCGGGTGAGAAAGGGGGAGTCAGCCCGCGGCCGGCCCACTCAAGGACAGATCGGGAGGGCCAGCCCTGCCCCTGGATTCTGGAGCCGGCCGTGGAGCTGGCCTCGGGGCCTGCAGGGAGCCCAGGTCCGGCCAGGCCTGGCAGCAGCAGGCCCCTCTGCTCTCAGCCCAGAGGTCAGCCCGCCATGACCGCGGCCACTGGCCCAGAGGTAGGGCGGTCATCTGAATGCCGGACAGGGAAGGAGGAAAGGGTCATTGCCCAGCCAGGCCTGGCTTCCTGGGCTGTGTCTCTGCAGATGCCCCACGAACGTCTGGTGCCAAGGCCGTCCCTTGAGAAGAGTTCCCTCCTTGGTGCCGTGCCCGAGGCTGGCGCGCACAGGGCCTGCCCTCTGTGTCCTGGGACAGGATCCAGGCCCCGGTCATGCCTGCTTGTCCCGCATTTCACCCTCCCTCCCTCCTTCCGGCCCCTCAGAGCCTCCTCTGTCTCGGAGAAGTGAGAACAGACCCGGGGCGGGGCCGGCAGTGAGCGGACGGGGCTGGCACACAGGTCCCCTTACAGATAGTTCTCCTGGCCAGACTGGCTGATCCTGGCCTGCAAGACAGGACAACAGAGCTGTACTTTCCTGTACTGTTCATTTCGTGCAAGCCGGTTAAGGAGCATGAAACAGCCAGCTCCGGGTCAGCCCCTGGTCAGCCTCGGGTCAGCCCCGGGTCAGCCCCTGGTCCGCTCGCCGAGGCCGGCCCCTGAGAAACACAGCAGAGGTGGTGCGGGCATCACTAACTCTCTCTGAAAGTGGCCCCCAGGTGGAGCTGGATCTACTGCTACCTGGTAATCCAGACAATAGCTAACTCACCATTAATTGACCAGTAACCAGTCATTTAACAAGTGCCCCTCCTTGCTAGGCTCTGGGTCCCATTGGACCAGGTCGGTCCGTGCCTCCGAGTTCCTCTCCAGCAGGCCAGGCCAGTGCTGGGATCCCCCAGGACAGGCTAGGAGAGGGAGGGCCCTCTGTCCTCCCTGACTGCATCCCCCGGGGGCACGGCCACTCCCCAGGACAAGGATGGCTCCTGGGTGTCCGCTGAGGGTGCGGACCTGGTGCATCCTTGGTCTTCGGGTCGTGTGATCATTCCACGCATGGCTGGCCACTGAGCTCCTGCTGAGCACCTTCTGGCTAGCAGAGATGCCTGAGACGCAGAGATGCCTGAGACGCAGAGATGCCTGAGACGGGCGACCTGGTTCTCACGGGGTCACATACAAGTCACACTGACACGGTGCAAGGGGTCCAACACCCGCTCCTCTCCATTTAACGCTAGCTGCCCTGGTCGCTGTTACAGGACAGTGTCTGTCTGGGCCAGGCTGGGGATGGTGCTGGGGCTGGGCAAGCAGCCCGGCCCCGTCTGTCTCTGTGGGTGTGAACAAGCCCCTGAGAACACAACTGGGTATTGATTAATTGTGAGGCTCCTTTGGGCGTTTGGAGTCCAGATAGAAAGTGAGAGGAAGCCGGGTCTCTGGGCCCTGGAGGAAGCTCCCGGGACTCGGCTCCCTCCCGTCTGGGGACAGGGCACAGAGGGAGGGGCTGCCCGCTGGGGACGCCTTGCAGGGGCTGGAGCACAGCCAGCCCCCGCGGGCACTGAGGCAGCCCAAGCGCCCTGGTCATGGTGGTGGCGCCCCTGGGCCGGGAGGTGCTCCTCGGGCACGGGGCAGTCCTTGGGTCATGCTGCTTAGGCACCCCTTCCTTTAAAACACCGGAGTCAGTCTGCTTTACAGACTGTCCTGAGCCCAAGCTGAGCTGAAGTAACAGCAAAGATGATTTGCTGGCACCGGGCCCCCAGCATGTCATAGCTCTAGTCACATCCTCAGAAAGGGAAAGTGCCTTTTAGGGAGGTTTTTCCCTTTTATAGAGAAGGAAGCAGAGACTGAAAGGGTTTTTTCCAAATGTATAAAATGTGTACGGACCTCATTTGGGCCCGGCAAGATGGGCCACCTGCACACAGGGCCAGGGAGAGACACACACCCGTTAGCTGTCTCAGGATCTTCTCTGCAAACAGTATGGGATGCTGTGTCTGATCTGGGGGAGGCCGATGACTCAAGACTGCACAGTGGGGTCAGGCTGTGTCCCACTGGCCCTCGGAAGCCCTGGGTCAGTGCCCCGTTTAGCCCTGGGGCACAGCCAGGGCCCTGGGAGGCAGGGCAGGCCCCGAGGGGAGTGGGCGGCCCCATGCCTGGTCCTGGAGGAAGCTGGCCGTCAATGGGAGCGTGGGAGGCCCCCACGTGACAGACCAGCACTGATGCATGGGCGAGTGAGGAGGTGACCCCGAGCATCGCACCCTCTCCGTCTACTCTTTCCTCCCCAGATGCACAACCAGGGCTGCAATCAAGTTCCCCAGGCCTTAGAGGCCTCCCATCTGCTCCTGATGTTGTCCTGTCCTCACTGCTGTCCTGCTGAGTGAAGGAGGAGCTGGGGGTCCTCTAGCTGGGAGGGGAGGGCTCCACGGCCCGTGATAGTGTCCTGGGCCCACTGCATAACATGCTGCAGGCTGGTCGCTCAACTAGTAGAAATGTATCCTCTCCCAGTCCCGGAGGCTGAGGGTCCTGGCTCAGTGTGCGGGCAGGGTTGGTTCCTCCCGAGGCCTCTCCATGGCATGTAGACGGCTGCCCTCTCCCTGTGTCCTCACGCGGTCGTCCCTCTGTGCGTGTCTGTGTCCTGATCCCCTTTTCTTCTAAGGACCCCCATCAGCTTGGATCAGAACCCACCCTAGTGATCTCATCTTCCCTTAATTACGTCTTTAAATGTCCTCTCTCCAAACAGGGTCACATTCTGGGGTGCGAGGGGTGAGGGCTTCAACATATGAGTTTCAGGAGACATAATTCAGCCTGTGACGTGGCCCTTCCCAGGCTGCTGACACCCCTGCAGTGGGCATGGGCCACCAAGAGGAGGCAGCCAGGGGGAGCTGTCCGCGTCCTTGGCTGGGGAGGCATGGGAAAGCCAGGCGGTGGGTGGTCCAGGCAGGGGTGGAGGCTGGATCAGGCGGTGTGGGCACCCGCCAGGTCACGCCCTACAGGTGGGGAAAGACACAGGCATAGAGAGTGGGTTGGGAGCTGGAGAAGGAGGGTGTCCATGCAGGGATGGGTGACCCCGATGCAGGGGACAGAGGAGGGGCCAGGGAAACCATCCCCTGGGGCGAAGCAGGAGATGTGATAGGGGAAGGAGGAAGGATGGGGTGGACGTTCGAGGAGCAGGTCAGAGATGTGGTGGCCGCGGAGTCCGACAGTGGAGGACCGGGCTGCTAGAATGAGCAATCACCCCCACCCCCATAATCTAGGCGGAAAATAACACCTCTGAGCAGCAACATTCTGGGTAAAAGGATGGCCTTTGCTACCAGAGCCCGCAGAACCACTTGAAAATGCATCACTTGCTCTTGTCCTCGGGAACACAGATAATTTCCGTGCGTGCAAGCCGGGTGATCATCGGAGCGTTTCCAGCCGTGCAGAGAGCTGGCTGCCATGCTTGCAGCCCGCGTCACCTGCTGTGTCTGTCTGATTATAGCTTTCCAGCGGCTCATTCAAGCCTGTGTGTTTATTTTAAGAATTCTTTCAATCTGCCCAAAAAAAAAAGTCTCATAACTGGCATTTCTGTTGGAGTGTGACCTGTGATAATTGCATCTGGAAGGTTCCAGCATCGACATATTCTGCTTTCATTCTCCTCCTGTCTCCTTATCCAGGAAACCAGAAGCTCTTCCGAGAGCATCATTTCTGTACCTGCTTCCAGCACCTCGGGGTCTCCAAGCCGCGTGATCTATGTGAGTTGGAGAGTGGGGAAGCTGGTGGTGGTTCAGTCTGGGCCTGGGTCATTGCTGGGGTGCCCTTGGGGGCTGGGGTGTCCTCAGGTGTCAGGGTGTGGGGCCGGCCCTCTCACCCCTGCCACGGGGCACAGGCCGGTGCAGACTTTTGGAGGTTAACTGGGAGCCTTCGGTGAGGACTGTCATGCCACCTGGGGACTGCCTGGTTACACAGCCATGGTGCCCAAAGAGCTGTGCTCACAACTATTGTCCACAGGGCTGTCAAATCAGTATTGCGTCCCCGCGCCACAGCTAAGACTTATCTGAGTACCTGATACTCAGGCTCACGTAGGACTGGGCGGGCGCTGTCAGAAGTGGTGCAGATCTGCACCTGTTACCCTGGGAAGTGTGTCCAACGTGTTCCTGCGAGAAGCATGTTAAAGATAGTATGTTACACGATCCCATTTTCATTAAAGGGCGTATGTGTGTGGGGGTGTGTACAGGTGTGTGTGTGTGCATATGGGTGTGTGTGTGGGTGTGTACGTGTGCATATGGGGATGTGTGTGTGTGCACATACAAGTATAAAAATAGCAACTACCTCTGGGCTGCAGGTTCAGCAGTGGGAGGTTAGTACTTTTGCTATTTACCTGTGAGTACCAAACTCCATTGTCTGAGGAAGAGCCCGAGGCTCTAGGTGCAGGCTGGGGGAGGGGCAAGCCCTGGACTGGGTGTCTGGGCCTGGCTCTACCACTGTAAGGAACAGCAGGTGTCTTGGGGCACGTCACTTCTCCCATCCCCTTCCCGCCCGGCCAGGAACTCTGTTTTCTCTCACACAGTGGGGTTGGATTTGCTCTTCCTGATGCCTTTTCAGCCCTGAATCTCATACTAGTTGGATGCAGAGTCATTCCTGACCCTAATTCTGATGGGTAACAATACCATGCAGTCTAGTCCTCGGGGGAACGTGATGATCACAAGCCCCGAAGATGAATCGCAGCGTGGCCCTTAGTGAATGTGCACTCAGAGGCTCAGAAAGGGGGTATGGAGTCATCAGACCAGCTGTGTGCCCTTGGGTGAGGAGTGAACCTCTCTGAGCCTCCGAGAGCTTACCTGTGCCAGAGAAGACCCACAGTACCTGCTGTCCATGGCCCGCGGAGGGACAGCGTGGGAACCCTGAGTGCAGCCCTGGGCCAGAGGGAGGACTTTGCAAATGCTCACTGCGAGGATGATCAGTATGAGATCTGCGCTCGTAGCTCGGCCACCGTCGCAAATAAATCCCGCAGGGCAGGTGGCTCCGACCACAGAAATGCGTTCTCTCCGCATCCGGGAGGCTGGGAGCCTGAGATCCGGGTGTGGACGGGGCTGGCTCTCCTGAGGCCTCCCTCCTCGGCTTGAAGTCTTCTCCTGCGTCCTCACGGGGTCGTCCCTCTGTGCATGTCTGTGTCCTAGTCTCTTCTTCTAAGGTCACCAGTCTGATGGGATCGGGGTCCACCCTCGTGACCTCATTTCACTTACCTCTGTAAAGAGACCCCATCTCCAAACACAGTCCCACCTGAGGTCCTCGGGGTGAGGGCTTTAAAATTCGGACTTGGCAGGACGTAATGCAGCCCACGGTGCCGTCAATGTCGTGAGAGACCTTAACTATGATTCCTGTTACTTCAACGAGACAAGGTCAGTGGAGCGCTTGGCAGGGGGCCCGGCTTCCGTGGCCGCTGTGGCCGCGTGGCACGTGGTGACTGCTCGCTAGGCGTGAGCTCCTCTTTTAAACGATCTGGTGTTTGACAAGGACCGAGGTACTGTCGTGACCATGTGTTGAGCAGTGACGCCGGCCACTGTGGTCACAGATCCTTGAAAGGCCCCATGACGGTGCACAGTGGAGCATTCGACGCACCCCACACTCCTCCTCCTCCTCCTCCTCCTCCCCCCCCTCCCTCCCCGGGTCGCTGCAGCCACTCTCAGATGCCGCTCAGAGACCTGCAGAAAGTCGTCTGCATCACAGTGCGAAGTCTCGGGGCCCCCACCCAAGAGCACACATGTCCTGTGGCCACACGTGGGCTCCACGCACCGTGGCCAGAGCCCAGCCTGGACACGTCCGCCCTCCTGGGCGCCAGGCAGGCCACGGGCTGGAGCACCTGGCTGTCCACTCCTCCCCCCAAACCAGGGTGGTGTGAGCATTCAGTCGGTGCACATCCACGGAACTCCTTCACCGAGGGGGCGTGAGTCCTCTCTCAGGGCTCTGCCCTGCTTTTTCTCTTGTCTCTCTGCTGGGGTCTGCAGTGGGCCTACTGCATACCTGACACCATGCTCAGTGCTGGGCCTCGAGAGGGGGGCCCCGATCCCTGCTGCAGCTTGGAAGGATCCCAGCTGCCGGGCAGCCCAGCGGCACAGGAGAAGATGAATGCCATGCGCTATCTGACCACCCAGAGTAGCCACCGCTCATACTGGGCAGCACGCCCCTAGGTCTCTTTGCGCTGTGTTTTTTTTTAACCCAAATGAGGTCATGCTGAATATTGTGTTTGTAACCTTTCTTCAGCATGGCAGTGAATCAGTAACTAGGCGAAGCCGAAAATCAGCATTATTACATTACAGTGTATTATCGGTGAGCTTATTGTAACTCTACTGTCATCGATGGCCATATGTTATTATCGTTTATCATGCTGGACGGAGTATGGAGAGAAAAAAGCAAGGAGAAATCACAGGAACATATACACGTCCCAGTGGCCTTTCGCCAATTAGAGCGTAGCCCGTTGTCACAGCAACCGCCCCAAGGCCAGCAGAGGGACAAAACGGATCTGTGCGCCCGCTGCGCAGGGCAGATGCTGAGGAGCCGGGAGCAGAGCCACTTGCCCAGGGCAGGCGCGAGCGGTGTGGTGCCCTCAGGCCACCTCTCTGATCCGTGCCATTCGGGGATCAGCAGGGGCTGACCCAGGGCTCGCTGACCCGTGCGCAGCAGGCTGACACCCACAGACGGGCGATGCTCTGATCATAGTGGGGTCCGAGGCAGGGAAGGGGGTCCGCCTGTGCAGGGACTTGTGAATGCAGGCCTCACCCAGCCCCTCATTCTGGTGTCAGCTTTAATCTGAGGCTCATGAAATCCAGAGGGTGGGCAAGATGTAGGTGGTAGTCTCATCTTGTAAAATGGTCCAGAGAATCCACCTGATTTTGGCAAATGCCCCATGGATTTTACTTCAATTTGGCAAACATGTCCCAAGGATCTTGCCGTGCCAGGCACGGAGTTAGGGAGAGGGACTCCGTAATGAAACAGATCGAGTCATGGACCCCCAGAAACCACCAGTCCCAGAGAAGGGGAGACTGGTGCACCAGCCGACATCGGCACCTTCACTTAAAGGAGATAAGCATCCAACCCAAATGGTGGAGGGGAGCAGGAAAGGAGATAAGCATCCAACCCAAATGGGGGAGGGGAGCAGGGACAGTCTCTCAGAGAGGGAGACCTGGACTGAGTCTGGAAGAGCCAGCGGCTGAGCAGGCAAAGGGGCCTGGGAGAGAGAGCAGCAGGTGCTGAGCCGTTGGGCTCCAGACGGCCGGGGAGCCGTAAGGAGCTCAGCGTGGTAGACAGTATGGGCAGAGGAGTGGGCCGCTAGGATAAGCAGGTGCACAAGAGCCCCTAGGGAACTGCTCAGAAATTCTGATCAGGGCCCATCCTGACTACAAACGACAGACTTAGGATTTGAACTCAGGTCTTCTGAACCCTGCCCAGGGCTCCACAGGGAGGAGTCAGAGGTCTGAGACATCAGACGTTCCCTCTCTCAAAATATATCACAAATGGCAGCATTCACCCCAAGAGCACCCACCAGCTCATGAGAGCCTTGGAGTCGGGTGGTCAGGGAAGACTTCCTAGGGGAGGTGGGCTGGGGCTACTGAACCCAGGGCTGAGCCTGGCATGCTGGGGGCACAGGGAGGAGATACCTCAGGGGGAGTGGGCCGGGAATGTCAACCTGCGTTTGGGGACTGCAGTGAGGGCTTGCATCGCGCACCCGGAGACCCTGCCGGAGGATTTGAGCTTGAGGACAGTGTGCTGGAGCTGGAGCTCCAGGGGAGGGCGATGGTGGGGAGCCCGGCTCTGGAGCCCGATGACCCGGGCCTCTTCCCACCCCATACCTCCCTGGCTGTGTGACTCTGGGTGAGCTATGTAACCTCTCTGGGCTCTGCTTTCTGCATCTATGAAGTGAAGGAACTGTGGGTGCCCCCCGTCATGGGCTTGTCATGAGTATTTGGTGAGCAGATAATAAAAGGCTTAGGCCAAGGGCATCCCAGGGAAGAGCTCACAGTGCTAGCAGCCTCTGTCAGCGATGTCTGTTCAGAGAAGTGCGGCAGGAATGCCCCCGGAGGCTCTTGCCTGGCCTAGATGTGAGCACCAAGGGCCTGGACCAGAGCCGCCTGGGCTGGAAAGGGACAGCTAGTCCCACCACAGAGAAGAGTGTGGGCCCACGCTGGCCCTGGCCTGGCCACTGGGGGACACTGGGGTTGAGCAGAAGGTTCCCTCGGGGTTCAGGTAGAGCCAAGTTGGTGGGGGCAGCCTGGCGTCCGGTAAGGCCAGGCTGAGATTAATGCTGAGAGGGGGGCATGGTGGGGAAGAGGTGACCACGTGTGTCCGCTCCAGGATGGAGGGGAACGTTGGCACCCACAGCAGGAACACGGGGACCGACTCAGATGATGGTTCCTGCTGTGACACCTGAGGATTGTGTGGGTGTGGCCCTGCCCCGCTCAGGGACCTGTTTCAGCTTCCGCGTGGCCTCTGCAGCCCCCTGGAGCAGGGAGGGGTGGTGGGGCGATGCAGGGAGGGTGATGCAGGAGAGCGGGTGGTCAGTGGCCTTCACGTGGGCAGATGCAGTGGTTCCGTGTGCATCACCCGTGAGCACCTGCTGCGGGCCGGGTGCGGTCCTGGCCCCACCTGCAGTCCTATCGCAGCCAGCCAGCCGGTCCAGTGTCAGGCCCTTCGCTGCTGTATCTCCAGTGTGTGAGTGCAAATACGTGTGCGAGTGTGCAGCGGTTTGTGCGAGTGTGATTATGTGTGCAAGCATGTGCTATTACACGGGAGTGTGCGTGTACATTGTTACATGTGTGGGTGTGAGTTGGGTGTGAATGTGGATTGGTGTGAGCGTGTGTGCGAGTGTGTGTGCTGGGTGAGGGAGTGAGTGTGTGCTGTGCCTGCAAGTGTGGGCGTGTGGGGGGCGTGCGAGTGTGTGTGCGAGTGTTTGGCAGTGGCCGTGAGTGAGTGTATACACGAGCTCTGCTGTAGGCGCGTCCTCTGTGCACGTGCGTACGTGTGCAGGAGTGGATGCCCAGTGCTTGCACGTGTGTGTACATACGTGCACCCACTGGGTGTGTGTTTAAATGCACGTGCACGGACATGTGTGTTTGCACGCAGACACGTGTATGTGTGCGCGTGACTTTAAGCGCCTGCATGCGCCCGTTTGCATATGCACATGTCTTGCGTGTGCACATGTGTTTGTTGCACATGTGTGTTTGTATATGGGTGTGTTTTCATTTGCATGTGCTCACACATGGGTGTGTGTGCGTGCACACACACATGTTATGCGTGTTTGTGGGTGTGCATTATGCATGTGCATCCAGGTATTTGCATGTTCATATAAATGTGTGTGCCTTTGCCTCTATGCACACATATGTGGTTGACGTGCTTGTATGGGTTTGTGTGTGTGCACACAGAGATGTGTGTAGGTATGTTTAGGCCCTTGGCTGAGTCTCGGGGTCTGCTGGGCTCTGTGCCAGACAGGTGACAGGCTCTACCTCTTTGACCCTGGGGCTGTCCTATGCAACCATCTGTCCCACTTGGCAGGGAGAGTAGAGGCTCAGAGAATACACTTCCTTAGGACTCCGTGGACTTCCGTGGGGGGGCCGAGGGACCCAGGCCCACGTGACTGTGAGGACTCCCTGGCCATGTGCCTCTGCCCCTTCACCCCATTCCACGGAGCCTGGGTCCTGGGCTGGGCCCCGCTGTCCCCACGGCCGCCAGAGCACCTGCTGCCCTCTGGGCTGTGGAGCTACAGTGCCCTCCGCTCTCTGTCTCTCAGGCGAAGCTGGGCGATGAGATTCTCGACTACAGGGACTTGGCTGCTCTTCCTAAAAGCAAGGCCATCTACAACATCGACCGCCCCGACATGATCTCCTACTCACCGTACATCAGCCACTCGGCGGCGGGCAGGCAGAGCTGCCACGAGGTACGGCCCCCGCGGCGGGTGGTGTGCCCATGGCAAGGGCCGCGTCCGCTTCCACCCCCTCTGACCCCCGGCCTCCTGTTATCCCCTCCGATGGCCTGTGCGCATCCCCTTTCAAGAGTCCCCAGGGGCTCTGCCCCCACCCTCGCGGAGGGTCTCCTTCGCTGGGGGAGGAATTAGGAAACATGCTGGTGTGGAGGCAATCTGCCGCCCTCAGCAGCTGGCCTGCCCCCGCCCCCCGTCTCATGAACCCCCTGCGCTGGTTTGACCACCTGTTTGGACCACACACGGTGGATTCCCTGGTGTCCCTCAGGCGTGTCCTTCCCCGGTGACTTGGTTCTCACGGCTCCTCTCCATCTCACGTGGAGTCCGCTGTTGATTTTCCCTGCCCTTTGGTGGTGTTGAGACTCGAGTGTGGCCGTGGGTGCCCAGGATAGGTAGGAAGAGCGATTTGCCAGCTGGTGGCCTGAGCGTGTATACCATCCACGTGTGGGCGGCCTGGCATGGGTGAGCCCCGGGGCAGGAGAACCCAGGACCTTCACACATCTCCCTGAGCCTTCTGTCCGCTTCTCTGCGAGGGGCTGAGGCTCGGGGGCGCCATGCTCCACGGGCTGGTACAGTCACAGAGGCTAGGCGCCGCTGCTGAACACAAGGCAGGGCAGGAGGGTGACAAGGACCCCCCTTCGCTTGCTCAGCAGCCAGCAAGCGCCCCTCCTGGCTGACTTCTGCCACAGGGGACACCCGGGACCCTGAGGATGTGGACGACGTGCCCCATTCAGAGGCGGGACAGGGAGGGGTCCCGACCGGCCCCCACCTACCATGTACCCAAGCTGTGTGTGGGGATTTATCACCCAGCATCTGGTCTGAGCTCTGGTGGACAGAGCTGAAGAGGGTCGGAGAGGTCCATTGACTTGGTCAGGCTCCCCCAAACGGTGAGCGGCAGAGCCGAGATAAATCCAGGCCTTTCTGCCCCAAAGACCACCTGCTGGCTGTTTCCTTAGCTGCCCCTCATGCTTCCTCTAAGAACGGGAGCCAGATCTGGAGGCCTGGGTTCAAGTTCCCCACCCCCTTAGCAGCCCTGTGCCACCCCACCTTCCCTGGTTGGAGCCTGAGGTTTCCTGTGCAGACTGGCTCATGCGGGCCTCAGCCGTGTGTAGGGTTGCTGAGAATGCCATGGAGCCCTGGGCCGGGGAGGGCTAGGTGGGCACATGGGTGCGGGGCATCATCACCCTCAGTCCTGCTCCCACGGGTCCGGGAGTGTTGGCAAACACACGAGCAGAGCACAGCAGTGCGGAGCAAATGCAGAGTCTGAGCCACACAGTCTCACGCCGCACCCCTCCAGTCGCATGCTGTGAACCACGGGTGCCTCCCTCCGTCCCCTGGCGGGTCACACTGCTGTGGCTGAGCCATGTCACCGCCACCTGGGTCGCCGCCCACCCCTCTGACCTACTCACTCTGCACGGACACTGGGCTTTCCTGGGTATCCATGTCCCGTGGCCCCATGCCACGGGAGTGAGTGTCCAGGATGCAGATGAGGGCACAAGGCTCGGGGGACAGACATGCTGGCCCAGAGCCGTGCAGCTCACTGAGGCAGAGGTGGGACTTGGGCCGGGGTAGCCAGCCCCGGTCACCATGGCCTCCACGCTGGCTTCCGCCATCCCCCCGGGGGTGTCAGAGTCCCCTTGCTCCCCCATCTCAGCGCCCCAGGGCTCTCCCCTCTCCAGGCCATGCCACACCCTGGCTGGGAGCCTGCGTGGTGGTGGTCTCCGTGGGGATGCTTCTGTGGGCAAATGATGGGGTGGGGACAGGGAAGCCCCAGAAGGAGGGTCGGGGCACTGAGTTGAGCAGACGCTGGCCTCAGGGCTGGACGGCTCTGCCCGCTTCTCTGGAATGGCAGCCCTCCGGCAACCAGAGCCTGACCTGACCACCAGAGCGGGAGTCCAGAGGGGAAAAGAACAGCACGCTGGACGCTCGGGGACCTACCTTCACCTCTCTGAGCCTCAGTCTCCCCTTCCATGAAATGGGAGGATTGGGGGACACTTTCCTTTTCCATTCTGCAGAGAGGGGGAATCCCCAAACCCCGAGGCCCTGAACTGCCCTCCTTTCTCTGGGCCGCTTGTCTCTCCTCTCTGGGGAAAACCAAGGCTGCCGGGCTCAGAGGATGTTGTCATCTCCCACCCCAAACTGATGGTCTTCCTTTTGGAAAATATGTCCTCATGAGGGAGCAGTGGGCGTCAGGGTGGGCCGTTGTGGAGGCGCACTCCAGGATTGGCCCAAAGAAATGTCCTGGGGACCCCTTTCTCAGGGTGCCATTGACTGTATTTCTCCAAAAAGAAGGTTCTGGAATCTTGCGTCATGTCTCGTGGTGGGGTTCCTTTCCTGTTTGGAGGAGGGTCTGGGCATGAGGACGTGTCTGTGCCCTTTGCTGTTTCTGCCCCCCCACTCCCAGCGACCTAACAGGCCACTCTGTGTGTTGTATCCACAGTCCCCACAGGTACTCTCGCCGACGCCGACAGAGGTAACCGCCTGTCCCCCAGCCAACGCCCCCTCTCGCTCATGGTGTTGCCGCCCGGGTTATAAACATAACCGCCCACGGCACCCCCAGAAGGGCCTCTGCGGCTCCTGACCATCTGGGTCATGGGGCCATGGTCCTCGGTGGCCTGAAATGCCGTCCTCGGTGTTGGTTATTTTTATAATCACATCTCATCTTCATGCTTCTGTGGTGCACCTGTCGGCCCTGCAGTGGCAGACACATGGGACATGGCTCTCTTGAGGTCTGGCTCATGGCTTCCTGTAGAGAAAACTCCCAGGAGCCTGGGTTAGCCTGGGCCCACCTCACGCTGCTCTGAGTGGGACATATGGAGCACCCAGATCCTTGCAGACGGGTATTCCGAGAGCATTTTTCTATCAAATAGCATTTATATCCGCAGCTCTGTCTTTCTGTTTCCCAGAGCCACTCAGTGGTATGGACAGGTGCCCACCAGACTCCCGTCTGCATGGGCATTGAACCCTCAGATCCAGGAATGCGCCCACCAGACCGGGCAAGTGGCCATCAGTGCCGAGCTTCGAAAACCACAGGATGGCCGGCCAGGCCCTCGGACAGGCTAAGCAAGGAGAAGGGATGCCCGTGGGGTAGAAACTAGCCAGTGGGGCTGTGTGGAGGATGCCCAGAGAAGCCACCACCCCAAGGAGAGAACACCCATCGCCGTGGGTGGGACGGGCCAGGTGGGCTCAGGACGAAGCCAGGTGACAGCTGGTGGGTGTGATCCCAGCCTGGGGACCGGCCTGAGCCAAGCGTGGAGGTGGGGGCATGGGCAGGCGTTAGGGACAGTGGCTCAGTGGGTTCTGCCGAAGGACAAGCCTTCGGAGGCAGAAGGTCGGCTCAGAAAGCATGAGAGCTGTGAGCTCCAAACCCAGACTCTCCCCTCTCCTGTGCTTACCCCCGTGCTGGACTCAGGGGCAAAGCAGGAGCGTCCCCCCCACGGCGGGCTGCCGGGCTGCGCCGTCCCAGGACTCCGGCCAGCGTGCCCTGCCGTGGCGGGCCCACTGCCTGCCCTTCCCCCAAGCCACGGTGTCATGCCATCTCATGCCACCTGCCGCCTGCTCTGACCGCTCCCGACCGTTGCTCATGCTGCTTGAATGGAGTCTCGTGGGCCAATGCTTGTGGCTCTGACTCAACTGGGCCTTTGGGCCTGGGAGGGGTGCCTTCCTACGTCCCACACGTAGGAGCCCCCCTTGGGTGGTAGGCGGGGGGAGAAGGCAGAATCTTACGGTTCTCGAAGATCTCAAAATGTCGTGGTTGTAAGGAGCTTGGGTGCTGGGGAGGATGGGGCAGGAGGGGCGCTGAGGGGTGTTGGGGAGCCAGGTGCCTCCACCACCCCTCTTCCAGAGCCCAGCCATAGGGAGGGGCTGATGGAGACTCTGCCCTCTGGGATCTGGGGGTGCTGGGGCCGTGCTCAGGCCACGGGGAGTGTCGCCACGAGGCCTGACCCCTACGTGGCTCCTCGGGTGCCCTGGCAGATGCAGAGGATTTTGTCCTGGGGCCACGTTGAGTCAGCCTCTCAGTCCAGAGGGCAACCGCCAGGAGGAGGGTGAATGCGTGGGGGGTGGGCAGTGCCTCAGCTCTGCTGTTCACCAGGCCTTCTTCCCTCCCAGGGGGATCAGGATGACCGCTCATGCAAGCAGTGCCGGACCTCCAGCCCGAGCTCCACCGGGTCAGTCAGCCTCGGGCGCTACACCCCGACCTCACGGTCACCCCAGCACCACAGCCGTCCAGGTACTTGGCCCCCATGGCTTCTTTGAGCCCGGATGAAGCTGTACCTCTCACTGCTTTCCCTCTTCTGACTCTGTCTCTTCCTTTACACAACCGGGAAAATGGCGGGCCGGGTGCAGGATGGCCAGCGGGTGACGGGAGAGCCTGGCCAGGTCACGTGTCCACGAAGGTTGGCCCCTCGTGTCTGGGAGGGGAGGACCGCTGCGGAGGCAGCTGGTTACCCTGCTGGTTAGAGGAGCCGTCCGGTGAAACACACGAGCAGCACCGAGCATTTAGACATGTTTCGGTCGCAGGAGATGTCAGGAAGCTAAAGGAGCGTAAATGTGGGAGACCAGAGGTCCGTGAGTCCCAGGCTCATGTGGGTCTGGGGGGGTTGAGCTATGAAGGCAGCGTCAGTGGCCAAAAAGTAGTAAGAATATCAATTGACCCTCTTCACCTGTAGCTAGGATGGTGGCCCTGAAGACAGCCAGCCATCCCTGCGGGAACATTGGTGAGGGCTTATTGCGCCCTCCTGGCAGGGAGACACCCGGGACAGGGTGCTCTCTACCCCCAGCCCACCTCCTTTCCTGCCTGGCACCCAGCTGTGTATTGCTCACCCTTAGCTTCGAAAACTCATCGTTACCCTCGGTGTGTCAAAGCCCCAGGGACACTCCATGCACACACTGCCTTTGTGAGGGATTTTTCCAAGCTGCTTCCTCCTTGGCCAGCTGCTGCATGACTCCATTTCCACATCCATGGGCTACAGCTCTAATTTTCGCAGCCTTTGTGGAAAAATCAACTCATTCATTTGCAAAGTTATTTTCATTGACTACCTGCAATGTTCTTAGAACATCCTGCTCAATAAGTGGAAAGTAGATGAATCAATGAGTGAGTGAACCAGTGAGTGTGTGAGTGAGTGAATGAGTGAGCCAGTGAGTGTGTGACTGAGTGAATAAGTGAGCGAGTGTGTGAATTAGTGAGTGAGCGAGTGAGTGAATGAGTGAGTGAATGAGTGAATGAATGAATGTGTGAGTGAATGAGTGAGTGAGCAAGTGAATGAGTGAGTGAGCAAGTAAATGAGTAAGCAAGAGTGTGAGTGAGTGAATCAATGTATGAGTGGATGAATGAGTGTGTGAGTGGGCAAGCGAGTGTGTGAGTGAATGAGTGAGTGAGCGAGTTAGTGTGTGAGGGAGTGACTGAGTAAGCGAGTGAGTATGTGAGTGAGTGTGAATGAATGAGTGTGTGAGTGAGCAAGTGTATGAGTGAGTGAATGAGCCAGTGAGCGAGCAAGTGAGTGAATTAATGTGAGTGAATGAGCGAGTGAATGAGTGTGTGAGTGAATGAGGGAGTGAGCAAGTGAGTGTGTGAGGGAGTGACTGAGTGAGCAAGCGAGTGAGCAAGTGTGTAAGTGAATGAATGAGTGAGCAAGTGAGTGAATGAGTGAGTGAGCGAGTGTGTGAGTGAGTGAATGAGTGAGCCAGTGAGTGAGTGAATGAATAAGTGAGCGAGTGTGTGAATTAGTGAGTGAATGAGTGAATGAATGAATGTGTGAGTGAATGAGTGAGTGAGCAAGTAAATGAGTGAGTAAGCAAGTGTGTGAGTGAGTGAATCAATGTGTGAGTGAATGAGTGTGTGTGAGCAAGCGAGTGGGCGAGCGAGCGTGAGTGAATAAGTGAGCGAGTTAGTGTGTGAGGGAGTCACTGAGTAAACGAGTGAGTGTGTGAGTGTGTGAATGAATGTGTGAGTGAGCAAGTATGTGAGTGAGCGAATGAATGAGTGAATGAGCCAGTGAGCGAGCAAGCGAGTGAATGAATGAGCGATCGAATGAGTGAATGAGTGAGTGTGTGAGTGAATGAGCGAGTGTGTGAGTGAGTGAATGAGTGTGTGAGTGAATGAGTGAGTGAGCAAGTGAGTGTGTGAGGGAGTGACTGAGCAAGCAAGTGAGTGAGCAAGTGTGTAAGTGAATGAATGAGTGAGCAAGTGAGTGAATGAGTGAGCCAGTGAGTGAGTGAATGAATAAGTGAGCGAATGTGTGAATTAGTGAGTGAATGAGTGAATGAATGAATGTGTGAGTGAGCAAGTAAATGAGTGAGTAAGCAAGTGTGTGAGTGAGTGAATCAATGTGTGAGTGAATGAGTGTGTGAGTGAGCAAGCGAGCAGGCAAGCGAGCGTGAGTGAATAAGTGAGCAAGTTAGTGTATGAGGGAGTCACTGAGTAAACGAGTGAGTGTGTGAGTGAGTGTGTGAATGAATGTGTGAGTGAGCAAGTGTGTGAGTGAGCGAATGAATGAGTGAATGAGCCAGTGAGCGAGCATGCGAGTGAATGAATGAGCGATCGAATGAGTGAATGAGTGTGTGAGTGAATGAGCGAGTGTGTGAGTGAGCGAATGAGTATGTGAGTGAATGAGTGAGTGAGCGAGTGTGTGAGGGAGTGACTGAGTGAGCAAGCGAGTGAGTATGTGAGTGAACAAGTGTGTGAGCGAGCAAGCGAGTATGTGAGTGAACGAGTGTGTGAGTGAACGAATGAATGAGTGACTGATGAGCGAGCAGGTGAGCAGGCGAGTGAGGGGTGAAGGGCAGTCAGGTTCCCCAGGTGCCCTCTCCGAAGGCCCCTCTCCCGACCCCCGAGCACCGTATTTTGGGTCACCCGGGCCTGTTGGCAGTGCCTGGCCAGGTGCTCACCTCAGAGAGCCCAGACGCATATCGCAGCGGGACGCGGCCGGGTGCCCATCAGGTGCACGCTCGCCCGGGTCCAGCCAGCAGCTGTCCACCTGCCTTTGAAGCCAAGGAGCCCCCAGTGGAGGGACAGGCAGGGCTCTGGAGCCCAGGGCTGCCCCCCGACCCTCAGCGGGCCGGGCTTCCTCACTCAGAGTCCAAAGCGCATCTGGTGACTCCCGTCAGGGGCCTCACAAGGGTGTGCCTTCTTCGGGAGAGGAAGCGCGAATGTCCCTGGCGGAGCGGGGCCTAGGACCATGCTGTGGCCTTGCGGGTCGCGGGCCCGGGGCGGACTCTGACTTGCTTTCTGTTGCCTGCAGCTGGTACTGTGAGTGTTGGTACTAGTAGCTGCCTGTCCCTGTCCCAACACCCAAGCCCTACATCCGTGTTCAGACATCATTACGTCCCCTACTTCCGAGGTAAGGTGCGCAGGGCCGCGGGCCGCGGGCGCTCGCAGGGCGTCCGGCCACGCGTCTGTGTCTTGCTGTCCTGTGTGCGCCGCATGGCTTCCCCGAGCCCCGTGTCTCCGCCCGTGCTCCCTGCTGTGTGTCTCGTGGGCCAGCCCCGTTTCTGTCGGTGTGTCAATGTTCCTGGGATGAGGACGTAGGCAGCTTGCACTGGGAAGGAGTGAGGAGTGAGGAGCCGAGTGAGAGCCGCAGGGGCAGGAGGCTAGGATCTCCCCCGCGCCCAGCCTGGGGCCTCGTTCCCAGAGCCTTTCCCCCATGACCCCTGTGGATGTCCCACGTCAGCTCCGCGGGGGCACGGGGACCGCTCGCAGCCATTATCAGGGGCCAAAGCAGAGGGGGCTGTGATTTGTCCGTGGCCTCGGGGCTCATGGTGGCTGGGGCCGGACGCACACCCTGCGGGGGCTCTAGTTCCTGCCTCCTCCCAGGGCGCAGACCCCCCCCACCATCCACATCCCTACACAGACAACAAATGCCAGTCACACCAGGAAAATGGCCAAGCTCGTTTCCCATGTGTTACGGACTGATTGTGTCCCCGAGGTCCATATGTGAAGGCCCTAACCGCCCATGTGACTGCATTTGGAGATGGGGTCTTCAGGAAGCCATCAGGGTCGCATGAAGTCACTAAGATGAGATCCTGATCCATAAGATCGGTGGCCTTACGAGAAGAGGAAAAGACACTGGAAGAGCCCTCGCTCTCTGCGTGTGCTCAGAGGAAGGGCCTCACAGTCATGTGAGGACAGGGTGGCCGTCTGCCAGCCAGGAGCAGGGCTCCCACCGAAACCAAGCCCTGCCACGCTTCGGTCTGGGACTTGCAGCCTCCAGAACTGTAAGAAACAATGTCCGGCACTTTGGGACACAGCCCAGCGGCCCGAGACACCGTAGAAGGGTGCTCCAGGTGTTAGAGGAAGCAGCGGTGATGTTCTTACTGATCCCCCAGAGGGGCATTGAGCCCCCCGTTCTGTACAGCTACAGAGTGGGACCTGGCCCTCCTGATGGGACTGGCAGGCCAGCCAAGCTCAGCTGGATCGTGCCCCCATCTGATGGTCTCGGATGGGGCTTGCTGGAACTTGTGTGTTCCCTTACGTGCATCCCCGTCGCTAGTTTGCGTGTCTGCCCTGGGTCAACGGAGAGCAGAGCCCCCGAGCATCGGGACCTGTCCTCACAGCTCACCATCTGACTTTTCTGGACATGCCGTCCCTCTTGAAAAGCAGCAAAGCCGGACATGGTGCCTCCCGTGAGCACGACAGCAGCCAGCAAGGCCTTGCCACATGCAGCCGCATGGCCTGTGCGCGTCCTGTGGGCAGACAGCGCACTCCCTGCAAACCAGGGGGAATTGGGCTAGTAGATGGGTCATAGCAGGTCACCAAGGAGATGCCTCTTCTCCCTTCGCTCACAGGTCCGAAGGCCCCTGGCCACACAGCTCCCCCGCCAACCGCCACCCGCCGTGGCCCTGCTTTCGGTGGGGCTGTCCCCCTGAGGGCTCTGGAAGAGGGGTGGCCCGGAGACAAGGCCCGGCCACGGGGCACTTGCTGTCTCTGGTGCGGTAGCCTTGCTGTCCTGGCAGCCCCCGTGAGCTGGCCGGACCACACGGGGACCCCCTTTGTCCGAGATGAGTCCAGGCTGGGGTCTGCGGCCAGAGCAGACCCTGTGACCCTGTCCTCCGCTGTCCCCTTCTGACTCTCCACCCTCAAGTTCTTAGCCCTCCAGGGTGAGGAAAGCCAGCGAGCGCCCTCAGCCAAGGGCTGGCCCTGGGACGGTGTCTCAGACCTGCAGCATGCCCGCTCCAGGTGGGTCAGGGGGAGCAGCGCACCCTCCTCAGCCCCGTAAGGGAGGGCCGGGGGGTCACAGGGAGAGACAGCCGTGTTGTCCTCGGGCAGGAGCAGCTAGGCCCCTCCTTCCACCCCATGGTGGGGGAGACCATGCAGACAGGCTCTAGCCCCTGCCCGCTGAAATAGGATTTGGAAACCATTTCAGAGCCTGGCCAAGGGCATCTCCTGGGGACAGGAGCACAGTCCCCATGCGGCCTGCCAGGTGGGCCCAGGCACGGGGCCTGTGTGGGGCCTGCAGCTTTTGGGGCGGTATCTGCCCTGACCCTCCCGGCTGCACTGGCCACCAAGCCCCTTCGTCAGAAATCAGACAAAGCCCCTGCTCTCCTCTCTGGGTCAGATGCAGGGGAGTCCTGGCGCCATGTCTCTGCCCCATCCCCAACTTCCAGGGCCATCTGTGACCTTGGGAGTGCCCAGCCTCTTCACAGGACTCACCCCAGAGGAGACCAAGGCTCAGACACACGATGCTGGCCTGAGATCCCGAAGCTCCGTGGGGCAGAGCTGAGTCGGGCCCTTGTTCACCAGCCACGTCCATCACGGGTCCTGAGTCCACCTCCGAGAGCGCACCGAGGGAGCCCGTCCTCTGCTTGATGCTCTTATCCAGCCGCAGGCTCTAGCGCATCCCAGCCTGTGGGCATTCACTTGTCAGCTGTGTCCAAGGCCTGTCCTCCTCCCAGCTGGTCATGGCCCCGTGTCCACCCACCCTCCCCGGGAAAACCTTTCCTGGCCTCTCCTCATGGCAGCCTTAGCATCTTTGGCTCCTCTAGGTGATGACCCTCTGAATGCCGCAGTGGGTGGAGGGCTCCCCAAGGAGAGGCATGCCCTCACCCCAGCCACCACCTGCCCTGACCCAGCTAGATGCTGACGGGGCACCTTGCTTTCCTCCTCTCTCCTTGCTGGACCCCTATCCCAGACACACCTTCCTCCCCCCATGTCTCAATGCCCAAGGCCACTCTCTACCAAGGCCGGCAGGCCGCATCTGTGTTGGTGGCAGTCATTTGCACTTTAGTATGAATTTCAGACCCAGGGATGTCTCCTGAGGCAGCGTAAGGTTTAAGCCTGACCTCTCACCTGTTAAGGAGCAGGTCAAGGGGAGGTGGTGCTGCCGGGACCTCTTCACTGGGCAGCTGCAGCTTACTGAGCAGCGAGCCTCCTCCCCTCTGTGGCAGGAGGGGCGGAAAGGGGCTGCCAGTGCAGAGCCTCGGGTCAGGGCCCGCTTCCCACCCACTCACTGTGCCCCAGAGGCACCTCTTCATCTGGCCCCAGTCCCTGGGCCATGCACCTTACTCAGACGGTTGGTGGAGCGCTGCACATGTGAGAACCCACGCACGTCTTGCTCATCGTCCTTAACACGCCCTTTCACGCAGATGGGAGCTGGCTTTGCTTCCAGCCACCTTGAGGACTTGACAGGGGCCGACCCAGGGCAAAGCTGGGACGATCGAAGAGCAGAATGAATGACAGGACATTGGACAGTCACCCAGCGAGTGAGGTGAGGGCCCGCAAGTCCATGCTGTCAAAAATAAATGAGCAAATGAATAAATGAGGGCAAAGGGACAGATCTCCCGAGCAGGAGAGCTCCCAGTGACTTACATGGACGTGCCACCCTCAAGGAGGGAACCCACACCCCCCGCCCCCAGTCCCCAGGCGTGCACGGTGCATGGCCTGCTCAGGGCACAGCCTTGGAGGGCCAGGAGGGAGACTGCTCAGGAAACCTGGCAAACCCCACTTGGCCAGGGGCTCAAGGTCACCATCCCAGTGACCGGTCACGTTGATGGCAGGTACCCTTGACCTGCTGGGATGGGAGGGCACTGCGCCCCCAGGGTCTTCCTCCTGAGAACCTGCAATCCCCGTCTGATCACGAGAAATAATCAGACCAGTCCTCACGGAGGGACGCCATGCAGAACACCTGCCCAGGACTCCTCACGAAAATCATGGCAAATCAGGGAAGTCTGAGAAGCTGTCGCAGCCCAGAGGAGCCTGGGGAGACGGGAAGACATGTCACATGATGTCCCGGATGGGGTCCATGGACGGGGGAGGGGACGTGAAATCTGAAGGGTGGCCTTTAGCCAACACCAAGGCAGCGACGCATGATGCCCCGCGGCAACAGGAGCGGTTACCCCGCGGGGAGACTGGCTGCAGCGCGCTCCAGAGCAGACCGCTTGCTTCAAATTTAGGAAGAAGCAGCCTCTCCCCGACCACCACCAGTAGAGGACAGAATCCGACCTCCTTCCCGAACTGCCTCCAGAGGCCACGAGAGCCTGGTCCGCAGGGGCTTCTTCTCAAAGTCAGGCCGGGGCCTCCTCTCGTTTTCCCGCATCCGTGGTGACATCGGTGGTTTGGGGTTTTACTGCTGATGCCCAGGGAGGAAGCCAGCCCCCGGGGCAGTGACTGCAGGCTCGGGGGTGGCATGGTGAGCCAGCTGGAGCTGGGCCTCACCGGGACCCTGGCCCCGGGCCCTCCCAGCCCCGTCCCTCCTGCAGAAGGCGGCCAGGGAGTTACGAGTCCTACGGGGCTGCTGTGGGCATTTCTGTGAGCTTCTGTGGGCAAAGCACTACAAGGGACCCTCGGCGGGGGCGGGGGGTGGGTGATATTAGCAGTGTCTTATGAAAATGAGGTGACCCAGTGAGTCCAGACAGGAGAATGGTCAATGGTGGCCTGGGTCTCCCAGGGAGGCTTTGCACTGGGGCCTTGACCCAGGAAGGGCCATGGCAAGTGGGGAGGATTGCAAAGGGGATTCTAGCGGGGGTGGGGAGGGGAAGGGAGGCTGGGAGGAGGGGATGCCAGCAGAGACGTCTCAGCCTGGGACCAGGGGGCAGAGTTTGGTGATCTCTGTACCCCTGGATGGTAGGTGTGGATGGGCGTCATGGGCCACTGCTTCTGGGTCTGTGACCCCAGCTGCCCCAGGGTCTCGGGCCCCGTGAGGACCTGCTGAGCACTGTGGGTGCTCCCCAGATAGATCAGCACACACACACAGGCTGTTGCTTGTGCTGTAGGAACACACTGCCCTGAGGCTTGGGGCCTGGGGGGACAGGAGCCCTGCCACGTGTCCCATCATCTGCAGCCACCTGGGCGGGAGCTGGGCGCACGAGGGCGTCTAGGCAGAAGGGAGTGAGCTGTTTGAAACCTCCCGGATGCGCCAGGCTGTGCCCGGAGCAAAGCAGACTTAGCGACGACCCCCGGCGTGGGCCGTCCTCGGCGGTTCCCGAGCCTGGGCAAGGAGACTGTTTAAACTTCTGCCGTGTTTCTCTGTCCTTGGGGTGTACCCCCTCACAAGCCACCGTTGGTAGAACCGATCGGCAATCGGGAGTTTCCTTTATGTGCACACGGCGGTGGTTTCCCCCGGGGGACTCAGCAATGGCTTGAAGGCTCGTGCCCCAGGGAGCAGCGGGAAGGAGCCTGGACTGGTGTGGGGCTCTGGAAGAGTCCGTGCTGCAAGGGGGGTGTGGCTCAGGGGAAGGCAGCGTTCACGTGGTGATGGGGGGCAGTCATGGGCCCCAAGTTCCATCAGCACCAACGGGCGAAATTGGCACCCAGGCGCAGGGGGATGGATGCTCTGAGCTGTGGTCAGCAGCCCCCTTTGTGGTCTCAGCCCGGTTTGGGCCGCGGGGCAGGGGCCCGCTCAGGCTGAGTGCCCACCTCTGCCCCTATGAGCCCTCCCGGGTTCCCGGTGCACCTGACCCAGGCAACAGCGTGCTCGGAGCCCACGCCTGCTGCACCCTCCCGTCCACGTCTACCCCGTGGGAGGGCGCTTCTTTGCCGGGTCACCTCAGGGCCCTGCCGCTTTGAACAGCTGCACCTCACAGGGGCTCCTTCCAAGTCTGGAGGGCCCCTCCCTTCGCCAGGCCATGATCCAAGGTGGCAGAGGGTTTCCTGAGGCTAATGGGAGAGGAAACGAGGAAATGCCTTAGGCGTGTCTTGCTAAACTGAGCCGTAAACCTCATCATCCAAAGTGTTCAACGCCCATTGCATTCTATCATGTCATTCCTTAAATAGGTACGTGTAGAGTGGGGAGGGGGGACGAGGGGGTCACCGGGGAAATTACGACTGTCTGAATTTGTGACTTGATAATCCAACCTTGTTCAGAACACAGAAATTATAAATCCAGGTGGGATATGAAATTGGAGCCAGAATTGGAGAACTCCTTTCATTTAATTTGCCAAAAGTAGCTTTATTTAGGAACATGGCAGCTAATTAATATCAACTTGCTCTTATCCTCCTATAGCTGATAAAATGTTACTCAGCGGCATTTAGGAACCGATTTTGTAATCCTATTCTGAATGATTTGTGGATTCTCCGAGAAAGCGGCATCTTTTTACACAAGGATACTGAGGGAGGGAGGCTTTAGTTTTGGTGAATTTGCGATTTGCTGGATTCAAGCCCCAGCCGGTGCTGAACGGCAGACCAACTGTGCACCCCGAGGAGAGTGGGGGTCAGCTGAGCCAAGCCGACATCCCCATGAACTAGCAACCCGCAAGTTCTTTGCCCTTGGGGCCACTGCTCCTTGCAAATGGGGCCACTGGAAGGGGTCCACTCGAGGTTGGATTAACAAGCTGTGGGGCACAGTCTGGAAGTGTCGGTGGAGGGCACCCTCCCCTGGGCAGAGTGTTGCGGGGCTCCACCAGCCAGGGGAGATGGGTTCACTGGGAACCAGCATTCCTACTTGACATACTGTCCTTTGCCTTCCCCTTCCTCCCTTCTACCTGTCTTTGCTCTTCCGTCTGGAGGCAGTGAAAGTGGCCGGAGCACCCCCAGCCTCTCAGTGCTCTCAGACAGCAAGCCTCCCCCCTGCACCTACCAGCAGGCGCCTCGCCACTTCCACGTCCCAGGTAGGCACCCAGGATGCGTGATTGGGCTTGCCACGCAGAGTGTCTGATTGCATGGGATTGCTATGATTCCCAAGCCTCTCGGCCCCCCCAATTCTAAGGGTTTGCACATCCGCCTGCTGGCGTGCGTTGGAGTTTCCCCCAAAGCCACACAAACACCGGGGAGACATTTTTGCTCTCCCGGGAATGTGCTGGAGAGAAGGCGCTGTCCGGCCAGCTGCCCACTCTAGCTGCCTCCCTCCCCACGCCCCTTGAACTAGGTTCTGGCTTCGGGCTGGGCGACGCTTGGTCTGAGGTGTGGGCCCCGGGCGTCAGTCGCTTGTGAGCCTGTCTGGCCAGTTGGAATCTGGTGCCTGACGCCTGCTTTGGAGAAGCAGAGGGGTGGAAACCAGTGTGCTCGCTCACCCTGCCCTTCTCCTCTTCTCTCTCTTCTTTCCCAGACACTGGCGTAAAAGATAACATCTATAGGAAACCCCCTATCTACAAACAGCATGGTACAGTCGGATTTCCTCTGCTGCCGTGTTCCCTGCATGCCTCTTGCACCCCTTTGCTTCTGGATGCTTCCTTTTGCTGTGTTCTGGTTGGGGATGGGGAGGCACCAGGGGCTGTCTGGATAGTAAGGGCAGATTCACTAGCGGGCTCTCGGGAGCCTCTGCATCGAAGACTGCGGAGGGCACCTCTGAGTCAGGACGCCTCTGTGTGCTCTAAAGCTGAGGCTCACACACGTCAGTGGGCTTGGGGTGGGAGTCCTCATCGACGGCCGGTTTCTGGGGCTTCGGTTATGCCACTTTGAGGGAGGCAGCCGGACTGACGCCAGCCGAGATCCCGAGGTACAAAGGCTTCCTGGACCCCAACCCAACCCAGCTGGAATTTTGGAAAACAGAACCAACCAGAGTTAGTCATTCATTCCTGTGTTTTAGGAATTTCTGAGGAGAGAGTGAATAGCCAGCCTTCAGTCAGAGAGTTTTATTGCATCAGTGAGTAGGGGCTGGACAGGTCGAACAGTGAGGGGGTCTCTCAGCCCCTGGTTTCCCTCTCCAAGGGGACTGCCCACCTCCGCTCCACCTGAGTTGGCCTGGGACAGGTGCACGGGCTGCAGGTGGCCGGAGCCATGGAGCAGGAAACAGAAGGCTCCAGGTCTCCTTCTGTTTCTTGATGGAATTTCTGGGTGATTTGGGGCATGTGGCTCCACCATCCTGAGCCTCTGTTTCCTCATCTGCAAAATGGGACTGATCCGTCCACCCTGCCTTCTTCACAGGCTGGTTATGAGACCAGATGGAGGAATGAACGTGGAAATACGGTCTAAACTGTGAAGTGCTGTGCACATGATGGGGAGGTGGGAAAAGGAATTCCCATATTTAAAGTTCTTGTCCGGATGCACCCAAAGAAAACAGCCTCGTCCCCCGTCCACCACTGCATCGCTGTTAGGTGGAATCCTATCAAAGCGTGCTTTCTGTGACTTACTGACAAATCAGTAGTCTGATTATACAAACAAGACTTCTGATTTTTCCTTAAGTACAGTAGGCTTTGTGCTTATTGCTTTGTGCATTTCTTGCTCTTCCCAAGAAAGAAAGGAATGGGTTAAACTCTTGGGTGCCCAGAAGGCGGTGGCTTTACCATTCCCTCTCAGCTGGGGAAGCTTGGAGCAAGATGTTCTGGAGGGATCAGAGAGGGCTGGGCCAGTTAGATCCTAGGGCCCTTAGAGATTGTCCAGACCAGCCCCTTGTTGCTACAAGTGGGGAGGTTGAGGCCCAGCTGAAGGCAGGAGCAGCTGTGTTGGGTGCTGTCTTACCATCATGGCGCCCGTGTTCACGCCTGCATGGAAAGCTGTGTTTTCTGAGCTTGTCACAAGTGGCATTGGCTGACTTGGCCTTTATTAACCTCAAACATGTGGGTAACACCTGTGGTAAGAGGGGCCAGCCTCTTAGGAAGCAGAAGAGGCCGTGAAGCAGATTATGAAATTACTCAGCAGCTTCTGAACAAGCCAGATCTAGGACAAAGAGCTTCCAACCCTAAGTCCTTTGACCAAATTGTCCGATGGAGAGACATTTTGTTTTACTGTTATCAGCGTGAATCCTCGCGTTGTTGGTTTTAAACTGGATACGAAGGTCCCTCCCATCCAAAGGCAAGGGAATTCTTGTAGGACTGAAGCTCATTTACCGTTTCAGAAATCTGGCATACTGATTCTTTTGGCAAATAGACTTTATAGAGTACCTACTCTCCACCCAGCATCCGGCCACGTTCAAGGGGTAAACGTGAATACAGCCTGTCCCTTTGTGAATGGGCATGGTCTGTGGATGGGGGTCTCAGCATGTGTGTGTACTGTCCTTCACCCGGTTTCCTTAGGGAACGCTCCAAAAATAACGTTGTGTTAGCATGTATTTGGCCCCTGATATATTTGAGATGCTTTGATTTTACAAGATGTCCCCCATCCAAGTGGAGCACATCCTGGCAGAATCGTGTGTGTGTGAGTGCATGTACGCATGCATGTGCAAGCATGTGTGTGTGAGATCATGTGGGTGTGACCATGCATGTGACTGTGAGTTTGTGTGAGATCATGCGTGTGTGAGCGTGTGTGAGAGCATGTGTGTATGACCATGTGTGTGAGATCATGCATGCGTTAGCATGGGTGTGGGTGTATGAGAGAGCATGAGTGTGAGATCATGTGTGTGTGAGCATGTGTGAGAGCATGCATGAGTGTGTCGGAGTGTGTGTGAGCATTGTGAGAGAATGTGTGTGTGTGAGATCATGCATGTGTGAGCGTGTGTATGTGAGTGTGTGAGAGAGCATGTATGTGTGAGTGTGCAGGTGTGAGAGCACACGTGTGTGTGAGAGCACACGTGTGAGTGCATGTGTGTGTGAGATAATGCATGTGTGAGTGTGAGCATGCATGTGTGAGAGGGTGAGCATGTGAGAGCATGCATGTGTGAGAGTGTGAGCATGTGAGAGCATGCGTGTGTGAGAGCAGGTGTGTGTGAGATCGTGTATGTGCGAGTGTGTGCAGGTGTGAGTGTGTGAGCGGGTGTGAGAGCACACATGTGTGTGCATGAGAACACACATGTGTGAGCTCATGTGTGTGTGAGCATGCATATGTGAGTGTGAGCGTGTGAGAGCATGCATGTGTGAGTGTGTGAGCATGTGAGAGCAGGTGTGTGTGAGATCATGTATGTGTGAGTGTGTGCAGGTGTGAGTGTGTGAGAGCACACGTGTGTGTGTGAGAGCACACATGTGTGAACTCATGTGTGTGATAATGCATGTGTGAGCGTGTGAGCATATGCATGTGTGCGTGTGTAAGCGTGTGAGCATGTATGAGCATGAGTGCGTGTGTGAGCATGCATGTGCCTGTGCACGCCCCCACACACTCAGCAAAGTCACCAGCCAGTCATCTCTCGGGGGAGAGACTTGAGAAACCACTGCGTTGACCTCCACCTGTCTCGAGACACTCTGGGGGATGATGTTGCATTACTGGACCATTTAGCTAGTTTAAGACAGTATGCTTAACCAGTTTAAAAAGCATAGTTTTTAATTAATGCATGTACTTTTCGATGCCCTATCTCCAACTCATACACAGCTTTTGTTAATCGGCATCACTCTTTTCTGGTGCTCGCATCCCGTTCCTGTTTGGGGAAGCGAGCTCCAGTGGTGAGCCCGCCGGCCCTGCAGTGGGGCACTGGTGTTGTGGACGAGGGGGGCCCATGCCCGAGCAGCTGCGGTGAGGGCACCCCCATTCTGGGGGGCGCTCGACAGCTGCCTGCGCATCCCCTGTGGGCCCCCAATGAGGTTGGCACCACTGTGGACGAGGAGCCTGAGGCTGGGGCTGAGAAGTGGCCGCTCTGGGGCCCAGCTGGTGCTCATCTGCCTGACCCCTGACCTCTGGCCCCTGACCCTTCCGTTCTCACTGTACAGCATTTAGTGCCCCACAGTATGTTCTGTACTCTATTAGTTTCAGCTCTACTTGGTTACGATTTTATGGCTTTTAAAAAAAATAGTAAGAAAAAATAGAAAGGAAGCAAAAGGCAATGAGTGGAAAATTGAAAACAGCGGGGGGCAGGACAGGACAGGAGCGGAAGAGCCCTTTCCTGCATAGCGGGGGACCGATGTGGGACAGGCAGGGAGAGGCAGGACACGGAGAGCGGATGGGACCGGGTGCCACGGTGCTCCCGAGCCGTCTGCAGGCGCTCGCAGCGGGGGGTGCCCCTGATTTGGGTGAGGCAGGCATGCTTCCTGCCACGGCCGCTCCCCGTCTCCACTCTGAGAGTAGGGTCAAGGCTGCCTCGCCATCGGCCTTTGCGGGAGTTGGCTGAGGCCCCGCTGACGTGGGGCGTGGAGCAGGGTCATTCCAGTGGTAGGTCCCCTCGATGGAGCGACGCTCTGCTAGGTTTTAGACTGCTCAAAATGAATTCCAGGGAAGAACAGAACACGTCTCCCCACACCTCCCAGGAAGCTGAGCGTCCAGACGCAGGGACAGGGCTGGCTGTGTCATCTGTAAGCAAAGGGCAGCTCTGCGACAGCCATGGGAGTGGATGCCCGGGCCCTGGACACAGGAGATGGCAGCTCAGCCCCGCACCTGCAGCATCTGCTAGCAGCAGGGTGCTCGCTCCCTCCTGCCCCCCAGAGCAGTCAGCAGACGGGGCCCCGTGGGGCATGCATGCTATTCGTCTGGTCCCTGGTGTAAGACAGGAGGCAACCCCTTCTCACGTGTCTCCCTGGGATTCCTGCGTGGTGGGGCCAAGTCTCATTTTGGTTTGGGGTCCTGTCTTGGGACGGGAGGAAAGGGAAGGCAGGCGGGCTGTGGGTCCAGAAAGAGCATCAGAGGCCAGCCAGTCTCCTGGGGATGCCTCCAACAGAGTCCCCTGGGGCTCTCCCCGGAGGGCTCCTTATGGCAGATACATTCCCGGTTTAGAGGGCACTGCCTTGTCTGCTGGGACAGACAGTGGGTCGTCCTTAATCGGTCTGTCTTCTCCTGACTCTCTGAAACACAAGGCTGTCCGCTCGCCTCAAGGCTGTTCTCTTGTTCATTCCTCATTTTTCAGACCTGGGCTCCTGGGTGTGTTACAGCATCTACATGCATTACCTCATGGGATCCTCGCAACTCGGGGGTGGGCATCATCTGCCCATTTTACAGATCAGGAAACTGAGGCTCAGAGCTGTTCAGGAAGCAGGCATATAATACAAAGTGCCGGACACCTGTATTTTCCTACCCCTGCTCCCACGTCGGGGCACCCGTCGCATGTGTTGTGGGCTGGCACGTTTGGCCTTTGGAAAGCCCTTGGTGACTGAGTGTGGCTGAGTCGTACGCTCCTGGTTGAGCCTTTGCAGAGGAAACTTGCTCAATCCTGGTGGGAGAGCTTCCTCATCAGGTGGTGGGGCCCTTTCTTGAGCCCCGAGGTGGCTCCACAGCCAGACGCATCTGACCCACCCGGTCACCCACAGCTATGTGCAGTCCTCAAACCCAGGGTGGCCTTTGGGCCCCGTGGCCTGAACTCCAAGGGCTGGGATTTCATATCCTGAAGAGCCCTTTGTTGTCTTTGTACTTGCAAATTACCCCCTCTGTAGTGGTCCGTTTGGGGGCCACCGAGGGCTCATTGGGGGTGGGGGTGTGCTCACTGACTTTCACTGGTGGACCCAGCCCTGGAGGCTTCTCTGGGTGGGACAGTGGCTATGCTCTGGAGCTCCAAGTCCCCGCTGGCCTGACCATCCCCAGAGCTTGCTGGGCGGCCGCCAAGAGTCATGGCGGATGTGTGGCCAGACCCTCAGGGCTCTGCTGCCCTGCGGCCACCATTGTCCGGACAACAGGCGAGCCCGGGCCGCTGGGCATGCATCCCTCCTGCCCCTGCCTCTGTCCACCGTGGCGCCCCTCGCGTAGGCTCGCTGTAAATTTGCCTCCACCCGTGGAGAGAGCAGGGTTTTTATTTTCACACTGGAAAATACTGTCTCTCCTGGAAGAAGGAGAAACAGCCATCGGGAGTAACAAAATGTCCGTGTGTCCAGAACGCTCTTCAACTGTGACCTTATCTTGTCAAGGTCCTGTAGCCCAGTCCCCAATTTCCAAGCTCTCGGGCCTGATGTCAGTCTTGTCCTTGGTGGTGCACAAGGCAGGGTGTTCCAAAAGGCTCAAAGGTCCAAGCCCTCCGCAGGCTGCAGGTAAGGAGCCCACCCTTGGCGTGTCCTTACTGTGGCCTTGGTCTCCGTGGCGGGTGGGAAAGGAGCCCGGGGTTTTCCTTTCATTGTTCCATGCATGGGGTCCGTGGCTTAGTACAGGAAGTCCTCAGTTGGGTGCTGAGCACTGTCATATGCCCTTGCGTGATGTACTTGATCCTACTCGCTTGGAGATGACCCCACCCCCACCACCAAAAATAAAAAGGCCAGTGGAGAATATAGACACCTGACTTCTCAGCCCCAGATAGCGTTCTTGGTGGACACACTGTGGCAAAGTGAGCTTTCGCTCCTTCCAGTCCACTAAGGTCACCTCTGGCCGTATGTCGTACCTCCTTTACCTCTCTTCGCGGACTTTTCCTGTGGCAGAGTTCACTGACCGTTCTGCGTTTCGTGGGTGGCAGGCAGTGAGGGGGACAAACGGGGGGGGGACTTTGGAGACAGAGCACCTGGGTCCACATATCAGCCTCTGCCATGCCCTGTGCATGTCATCGTCTCTGAGCCTCAGTCTCCCGATCTGTGAATGGGGTGGCGTGGGGATCCGCAGGAGTGCCGGTGAAGCACCCGGCCAGGTTGGACACAGCAGGCCCTGCTGGACCAAACCCACCTGTTCCTTTAGGGTTAAACTGGGAAAGTAGAGAGTGCATGCTTCAAAATGCCAAGTGGCTGCATCCAAACACGTGGCGCGATCTCGGCGGCGTGGAGTTGGCTGGAGTTCTAAGACCGCGTCACTTTGCACCCCTGCTCTTGGTTTGAAGAACCGTCAGGAGGGAGGGTGCATGGCCGCCGCCCGCGGGGCTCCCGTGGGAGGCTTCTCCGGCGCGTCCTGCTCCCCGGCCCTGCAAAGGCTCTCGTGCCGTGGACCTTGGCTTGATTCCTTTCTGTTTCTGAGCACAATGGGAAGTGGGAACCGTGGCAGGGACGCCCAGACGAGATGGTGTATCTCCTTGACAAGCGGCCCCTTCCCTTCCAGCTGTCAGGCGACCCGATGGAGAGGACGGAATTTTCGAGCAGGATAACAGGAAGGTAATGCGGGGGCAGGTCTGGGCGGGAGCAACGTTGCCCAGAGGCAGTCTGGCTCAGGGGGGGTTCCCCAGCCAAAAGCTCAGGCTCCCTCTCCCGCATTCTGCTCCGGAGGGGCCCCACGAGGCCCCACGCGGCAGGGACCAGATTTCAGAGGTGGCCCCGTCCGCCGCCGCCTCCCACCCAGACTAGCACGCCTCCTGCCGCACCCCTGTAACCCGGTTACGGCTCTGTCACCGAGGCCATGTCTAAGCAAAGAAAGGAAACTTAGTCCAAGGGCATTCTGGAGGCATCTGGGGTGCTGGCTCGAGAACAGGCTGGGCAGGGGTCCCGGGGAAGGGTCCGAGGGTAGAGTGAGGCTCTGGGGGCCGTGCAGCTCGGCGACAAAAGCAGCCAGGGGGAATGTGTGGAGGCCTGGGCGCGCCTCCCTGGGGGGATTGGCCCCCAGAGTTTCCCGCCCTGGCTCCAGGGAGGCCGAGGGCCCCTGGCTTGTATTTAAGGGAGGGAGCTGTGCGTGGAGAGAGCCCACGCCTGGCTCACCCGTGCACCCCCAGGAGAAGCCGTTTGGGCCCCTCACCTCCCTGACCCCATTTCCTCCTCTGTAGCACGGGGCAGCCCCATGCAGATGGCCTCTGCATTCACGTGGCTTTTTTCCTCCCTCAGCAGAAGACCAGCTGGCTGCTTCTCAAGGGGGATGCAGACACTAGGACTAACTCTCCAGACCTAGACAACCAGTCTTTGTCCCACAGTAGCGGGACCGATAGAGACCCTCTCCAAACAATGCAAGGGGACAACTTTTACTCACGTGAGTGGTTCTTTTGAGCAAGGAGCTGTACCTGTGGCATGAGATGCCTCGCAACAAGGGGGCCCCACAATCTGGAACCCATCCCCCAGAACTGAGCCTTGCTCATTAAGAAATCTAAGGAGCAAACCAGGTAGGAGAGTGGACCCCCTTTCCGTGTGAGTTCCCCTGGACATTGTGAGCTCGCGTGTGGCCCGTGGGCACACGGCATATCTCCTAGAACGCTCCAGGGCTGGAGACAGCCCAGGAAGCCAAACTGGTCTCCTGGGTTCTATTGCAAAGAACATCTCCCGGGCCATCAGGCCGGGAAGCGGGGGGCCCATTTCCCTCCAGAGCAGCCATAAGCATGGTCCAGGAGGGTGAGTCCAGACTGGGAGTCGATGACAGGGTACAGCCACGCGGCGCTCGGCCTGAGCAAGGCACCGGGGAGTGGGGACATCCTGTCCGCAGGGAGTACGGGGACAAGTGACCGCTGCCTGACTCTGGGGGTCAGGAGGGCTGAATTAGGGGGGATTTTCAGATGCAGGGCAACGCTCCACATAGAGCTCTAGAATTGTACATTGTGGGTGAGAAGCATGGCCAGCTAGGGTGTGATGCCCGCAGGAGACCTGGACGCCGTGCCTGGGTCCCAGTGGGTGGTTTCCTGTGGGCACGTGTGGGGCTGAGCTGGGACGCAGAGGTGGACAGGGGTATGAAGAGGCAGAGCACAGAGGCTGGTGTGGCCATGAGCCTGGCCCGAGCTCAAATCCAGGCTCACGCCTGATGGTACGTGGGACCCTGGGCCGCGACCGCACCGCTGGGCCTCCGTTCCGCCTGTCCGCCTGGCCAGGCCAGTAGAGACCAGAGGAGGTGACACACGTCCACAGCCGGCGTTCTGCCTGGCGCATAGTAGGTGCTCAGCAAACAGACTGTCATTGTCATCTTCATGCTCATGACTCTGAACTGTAACCTGTCTTACACATGGAAGGGGCGGCCCGGGCATTGTCGTTTGTTAAAGAAGAGCTCGAAGCAAAGCAAAGGCGCATTGTTTTGTGTATGATCTTTGCGAGCAGACATCGTGAGCCACCCCTCCCCGTGCATCTGGCCCGCCGGGGGTGCAGCGCTCTAAACATGGGGCTCTCCGGGCCGGCACATGGGTGGATGCCACCGCAGGAAGTCCACGTCAGAGCAGTCCCCCAGAGTGACTCGTCCAAGGTGGTGGTGTGCTCCTCCCGGGGCAGGTGTGGGGCGGACGCGGTGGGCTGCCCGTCCCCCCCGCCGGCAGGTCGCGGCGCGGACCAGCCCAGCAGCTGCGGTCCGTCCCCCGGCCCTTGTCTGCTCCCAGGCACCCACTGCCCCGGGTGCTGCAAGACCTGACCATGGGCCTTGCTGCTCCGTGTTCCCTTTGTCCTGATGGCGGTTGGTTTGGAAGGTGGTGGGATCCTGTTGCGCCAGCCCTCCAGCACCCCCACAGCCCTCGCACGCCTGGGGTGTCGTCGTGACACCCATGAGGCCCAGGAGCTCTCAGGAAGTGAGTGTCTGGGGACCTCAGGGGGTGGCCCTTTATGGCTTCCCATCCTCCCCTTGCTGGGTGGTGCTAGGACACACCTGCGGCTGACCCCGGGATCCCCACTTATGTCCGCAGCCCACCTGTGGGGGGGTTACCACATGGGGAGAAGCCTGGCCACGGTCCCCCCCCCCCGTGCCGTTGACCTGCCCTGTCACCGGTGTGTGCTGCCTTCACCCCCTTGCACTGGCCCCTCGCCCGCACGTGCGGGGCCAAGGGGCCCCCGGCTCATCCCGGGAGCCCCATAGGCGGGAGCTCCCCCGCGAGGCCCCCAGGCTGTGCGGGCCATTTTGGCTGGCCAGTCACACACCTGCAAGGTCTTGTTTTGGCTCCGTCCCCTCGTCCTCACTGTTGTCTCCCCATCACTGGGGCCACGGGCAGCCACAGGTGGGGGTCCCCGTGCTTGTCACCCAGGGCGTACCTGGCCGGCAGGAAGCGCCTCGCCTGTGCCAGAATCCAGGCTCTAATGGGGGAGATTCCTCCACAGTAGAAACAAGGCGTGTGTGTGTGTGCGCATACCTATGGCCTTCCTCTTCACGAACGCTTGCTCATGACGATTATGACAGTTCTGTCCTTCCTCCGCTTTCTACGGTGGTCCAGTGTCGGTTCTGCTGAGCGGGAAACCCACCGCACACCTGCTGCAACCGCGCCTCTACCTCTGTCCTGAAGACCTCACCTGGTTTCCCGACATGCATGGGCACAGCATCTGGGACCCAGGCTACTGGTCATGCCTCCCATCACGCGTGCCTTGCTGCGTGCTAGCCTGTTGAGAAATTGGGGTGGGGTGGGCAGCACTCCTAAACAGAGGGTCATGTACCCCCTTTCCTCGGGGCTCCTTCCACTCTCCCCGAGTAGCTCCCGAAGTGAGCCCACAGACACCAGTCCCATTTGCAAACAACTTTCACTGAGCAGGGCATTTGCACGCAGCAAGGCACACCCCACCTGCATCCCCGGGACATCCATCTGTAGTGCGCCCAAGGGAGGTAGGATTGTGACACTCAACACAGTGGACGCTCAATAAATGTTTGTTGAATTGAGATGCATTAAATTCAACGGGTATTTATTGAGCACCCACTCTGTGCCAGACGCTGTGTGGGGCGCCAAGGGGGACACCAAGAAGACAAGAGCAGCCCCTGCCCCGGAGAAGCACGCAGGGAGCTGAGAGAGGCAGAGACGCCCACGGGAGCGAGCACCCACGCATCCCGCCACCGCCCGCCCGGGGCCTCCGAGGGCTGACGGGGCGGGGGCACGTCTCATCCCATTCATGACCCCACCGGCACGTCTCACCCGGGGCTGAACTCATCATCTGGTCATTCATCCATCTCTCCACCAGACATTGGTTGAGCACCTACTATGTGCTGGGCACGGTGCTAGGCAGTGGAGAGGCGGAGGTGAGTGTGGCCCAGCCCCCGTTCCCCAGAGGAGGAGCAGATGACTGAGCAGCGACAAGCCGCCCTGTGACACCCTTCTTTCTGGCCCACTGCCGCCTACTCCGAAGAGGGTCTCACTGAAATACACGTGGTATTATAGATGACTGAGACTCTCCTTTGTCCTGCACCTCGGGCTTTATTGGGACTCTGTGCGTAATGTGTGGTTACCAACACGCCCGATTTCTGCACATGGAAGGGGTGATGTCGAGTTTTTGTTATGCAAAGAGGGTCTTGAGCTTTACAGGATGAGACTCACCATCCCCAGAAGAACACGAGGTGACGTAGGGCCCCCTCCCCATAAGACAAAGGCCCAGCTGGCTGGGGACCCCGCCTAGAGGACTCAGTGGCCCCTAGAAAGAGCCCAGGGTTTCTGAAGACACAGACCCTTCCTAAGGCCCCAGCACAGAGAGGAATGGGGGAGGGGGCCGGTTAGGAAGAGCTCTGCATTGGAAACTGAGGCAGCACAGATGGTGGTCCCGGGGCTTTGGCTTTCGTGTCACCTTCTGTGTGCCCCTCCCTGTGGAGTCCTGTGTTTGATGGGACATGCTTGTCTTCACCTGCTGCCCACCATGGCTGGGGGCCTGGCCTGGGGCCAGACTCCCTCCCAGCGCTCGCGGGGCGTGAGGCTTGGTCAGAAAGGGCCCGCTCCTGTCATTCCTCTGGAGTGGTGACAAAATCTTTCCCGCATTTCCTGCTCCACGAGACACTGTGATTTGCTGTGTGCTGATCTCTGAGAATACCCGGTGGGAAGCCATGCGCCTGGCTTAGGTCTGCCCCGCGGCCCCAAGGGCTCGACTCCACCAACATCAGGCCTGAAGAAGCACGTCAGTCCATCTCCTCGTTCACGACAGGCAGGACAAGGCCCAAACCTCACCAGATACCTCCCGAGCACCTTCCGTGTTACCGCACTCTTGCGGGTGCTGGGGGTCAAGCAGAGGATGACACGAGGGGCCGGCGTGCTAGGGGGGTGGGGGCTGAGACCAAAACAAAGTTAGGAAGTATACATCAGTGCCCTGCAGGTAAGGAGGCCAGGAGGTGCTGGGGGCAGTTGTCAATACAGTCGGGGGAGGAAGACTATCTGAGCAAGACTCGACGGGGGTATAGGTTCGAACAGTGAGGATGATCGGGGGAAGCCTGGTGGGTTTGCAGGACGGCGAGGGGGCCTGCGTAGTAGGGGTGAAGGCGGCGATGCGCAGGGTCATGGAGGACTGGGTCACCTGGGGAGGACTCCAGCCTGGCGTCCGAATGGCGACATGGTCCCAGAGGGATCCCAGCAGAGCCCGACCTCGTCTGATACAGGTTTTCGACAGGCCTGAGTGGGGGCAGGAAAGACCATAGGAGGCAATTGCCATCATCCAGGTTGGGGGACAGTGTGCTGGGAGGTTGTCCTAGAGGGGTTGTCCTAGGGGCATGTCCGGGGGGAGGGTTCCTATGGGGAAGGTGTCCTGGGGTGGCTGTGCTGGGGGAGGTATCTTAAAGGGGTGTCCTGGGGGGTGTCCTTGGGGAGAGTGTCCTATGAGGAGGGTGTCTTGAGGGGTTGCCCTGGAGGGGCATCCTCGGGGGCTGCTAGGGGGAGGTGTCCCCGGGAGATGTTCTAAGCAGCACGAACACCATGTCCAAGGATATGCCAAGGCAAGAAGCAAGGCAGCCATTTGGGCAACAGGAAGCCAGTGGGTTGGCAGAAGAGGGACTAGCCAGGACCCAGCTGGTCTGTGTACGATGCTAGGAAGCTGTTCTGTCTGTTAGGGAACAGGTCAGCGGGGTAGGGCTGTGAGCAGGCAGATGAGGCAGTCTGTTCTGCATATTTAAAACAAGGATGGGCAGCTTCATGGAGGATAGACTGGAGGCTGCTGGGCCAAGCACAAGGGATTGGGGTGTCCATATAAGCGGCAGGGAGGCCCCTTGAGTGGTCTGAATGGCAGGAGCATGTGTGAGCAGTTAGGGGTGCGTGGGGGGTGCAGAATCAGGAATGACATGGGGACAGTTCTGGCTCAGGTAGATGGAGGCACCTTTATTCAGAGATAAGG